GCGCAGCACTCGCTCTACCTCTGTGACTCTGAGTATAAAATTACACATGGATAGAGAATATTACATTTCTTCTTCTGAGGGTGGAACATTAACTACAAATATTAAACTGGTTTGAAAAACAGACAGTGCTGAGAGTTGTCCAATACTTTGTTATGGTAACAAAACCAACAAATTTCGCCCCTTTATGTCGTACACCGTTAAAAATACTAGTCTGTGCGACAATAACTATTGCGCACAAAGGAAATGGTCATAACTCCGTATTAAACTCGGCTCACTTGGTGAGAATTTGGCTGGAAGCACTATTCAGCATTATTATTAATCCGACGATTTTTCTACCAGAGATAATTCAATAACAGTACCAGAAACCACACAAATCTCGTGGCCCAATGACCAAGGCTAGACAATTTAAATATACTTCATTTTTAAAGACATAGTTTGCCATATTGCTCCACAACCGATGTACATTTACTGTCAAACTTGTTTCTGCTGCTTTAGATGCTTGACATGTTGGTCATTGGTCACGTGGTTTGGCAGCCATGACTTCAAGACTTTCTGAGTGCATTTTACTTTGTTTTGGGCACGTCTTCAAAACCGTTCGTCCCTGAACCTACCAGACGAAATGCTTCTACACTTTCCAAGAGTTGCCTCCATACTTATCATATTAATATACGGTAGCCGTTTTTTTCTGATAACGTTTGGATGTGGCCAAAATAAATATATTTTGGTTCGATTTTCTCTCATAAATTTCAAAGAAAATATTGAATGTTTGTATGAAGTTTTGATGCCTTATATTTCAAAGTTCTTGTTCTTGGTTGCATATCGAAAGTAACTTGGCGTGGTAGCCCTATTCAATACAAGCATTTCAGGGTGCATTCAACCTAATTAAAATAAGATCTTAGTTGTCGCTAAACTAAGACATACTTTAATTATATTGGTGTGCACTTTACTTTGTATTGGGTACATGTCTTCTAAACCCTACTCCTTTGAACATACCAGTTGAAATGCTCCCAGACTATCTAATAATTGTCTTCATACCCGATTACCGTGTCAGACGCCTCCCGATATCTATCACTATGGGGTTCTCCTCCTGGTCGATCTTGTCATCTACTTTATAAATCGTTTCTTCAAAGGTTCTACATAGAAAACATTGAGAGCTGGCAATACGTATTGACATCGTATGTTGGATCTTTTGGTGGTTTTGTTTTTGTGCATGTAAACAAAACGGCGCTTGACTGACTCATATACTACTCAAAAGAAGTTAAGGATCACCCGATTATTTCATATTGGTAATGTTAATCTGTCATGGCATGAGTGATTAACTATTGTAATATGAAAGAATCAGGTGATCCTTAACTTCTTTTGAGTAGTATATTTTATTTTTAGGTTTTGCTAAATGACGCGAAATGCAGGATATTAAAATAAACGTTAGTATATTATTACACATCCTCAACCCCCTCACTGCCTCCTCATCGGCGCTAGTGCCATGACCTATCTTAACTTGAAAGTCTTCTTTAATGTGGTGTGTATCGGCGCTAGTGCCATGACCTATCTTAACTTGAAAGTCTTCTTTAATGTGGTGTGTATAAAATTATGCTTTTTTAAAAAGCGTGAAATCACTTATTATTCCCGGCCACTAAGGACGTAATAGCGAAATGGATGGCCCTGTCTGACATGTTCGTTAGTTCTCAGACCCCGCGCATTCAACTGATCGTGAAAGTGAAATTTGACTCATTTTGCACCGTTATTAATTAGCATTTACATTCTACTCTGATGGATTACCGAAGCTTGGACACCTTTTTGTTAGACATTATGGCTTATTTTATGCCACTGGCAACACTCGATTTGTAAAAAAAGAATTAATGATTCTTTTACCATGTAAATAATGCCTTTGAATTGATAGAAAATGAGATTTCTATTTTAATTAGACAAGACATGCACCTGTTATACATCGAATAAAATATAACGCTGATTCTTGAGATCGCCATCACCTGCCTCGCCTCACAATGCTCTAATAAGGGAGTTATTGACTGACAGATTGACTGGCAGAAACAAGCGAGGCCAAGATAACTCATGCATTCATTTCGATCTCTTAAAAATAACTGCCAAAGATGGATCAATATGAACTATGAAGTCACTGTCGCGCGTCAAAAAAGGTGAAAAGGGAAAGATTCCTAACTATACCAAACATAAATTAAGAAATAACGTTTGCTGTATCCCACATGCAGTGTAATAAAGTATATTTTTGGTGAAGTAAAGTTATAGTTAAAGCAAGAGGTACAGGATGGGAATAGAGCAAACGTTATTACTTTTCTAAGATGCCAAATTGTGTTTTATTGGAAGTGAGTTAAATCTTATATCAGTGGCACAAAAAATGAAAATCCTCGAACTGGACAAACTGGGGGGCTGTTACAACTAATTGCCTGCACCCTTACGATAACAGACAAAATACGTTCTAAACATAATATTACACGAAATAGTGATGTCGTTATCAGTTATAAGCACCTAGTTTTCGACTCGTCTCTATCGCGCTAAACGACAACAAACGTAAAGATAAAGATATTGAACTTTTTATTGAGTGTCGTATATAAATACTATAACGTTTCATATCAGTAAGTTTATTCATAAAGCTGAAACTTGACATGCTTATTTGAGTAATATTTACAAGTATTTTGCTGTTCCATATTATGTTCACTTCATTAAACCTTAATTAGGAGGATGAATGTTTTTACACAAATACAAGATTCCAACCAATTAAAAATAAAATCATTTTCTTTCAGGATTTCCAAATTTGCTAGGGTGTGTAGATGGCACATTTGTAAGAATCATAGGCCCAAAGGTGAATGAAGGTGACTACCTGAATCGTAAAGGCTATCATTCGATGAATGTTCAGGTATGTATATAAATGGTTCACACAAGTTATGTATTTATTAACACCAACAAAAAATTAAATTATGATTACATGATACCTAACAAATAATGGGAATTTTATGTCATTATTTACAAATGAAAGTATATTTCAGTACCAATGAAAACGGGCCTCTGCTCCCTTTCAGATGATCTGTGATGCAGAATACAGATTTATCAACTGTGTAGCAAAATGGCCAGGAAGTGTACATGACAGCAGGATATTCAGGGACAGCAGAATCAGTGTTGCGTTTGAAAATGGTAGGTATCACATTTGATTACCAGACTTTGTAGTTGCTATGAACATCGGTACAAATGACTATTAAATAAAAAATACAAGTAACGTGAATATTTCTCAAAGCTGGTTTTGTCAGAAATAAATTATGATCACATAACCACTGAAGTTGTTAAATATTTCTTGAGCTGGCATGTTGCAATGTTTTCATGAAGAAATGTAAAAGCACCATTCACGATATTCTAGCATCCTTAGCAGACAGACAGCATTATGATGTGAAATACTGAAGTTCTCATTTGTATAGTGTGATCATGTCTATCAATTTATCTCCCCTGCCGTTCCAAATATTATTTGGGTGACAGAATTTCATATGTCATGTGTTCTTATTTGTGTATGTTACAGGCACATACAAAGGTTTTTTGTTAGGGGATTCAGCCTACCCCTGCAAAACCTACCTGATGACACCATTCCTCTCTCCAGCATCTAGAAGTCAAGAAAAATATAACCGCTGCCATGTCCGAACTAGAGTTTTAATAGAACAAAGCTTTGGCATCTTAAAGCGGCGATTTTCTTGTTTACATAGTGGCCTTAGAACATCACCAGAGAGGGCCTGTCAAATTATCACAGCATGTGTAGTACTTTTCACAACATAGGAATTGATAGGAAAGACATAATTAATTTGCATCATGAACCCTCTGATGGAATGGAAAATGCCAATGTCAATGTCAACATTGCTAATGACTGGAGTGGTGTTAATGTCAGAAATTACATATGCGAGTCATTCTTTTCATAAATCTATTTGATGTATGGAAGGTAAGATTTAGTCTCCATACCTGATGCTTGTTTTAATGAATGACTAAAATGTTCATTCTGTACGCAGATACATCTTATGAACTGAGGTGTGAATTTGATGCATGAATAAATATGTGCATCATATGTGATTATATATACATGTGTAATTGTGTACCAAAATGTTTGATTTGTGTAAGAGGATGTGTGCATTATTAAGTGTCCAGTTGATGTGGTATAAACCCACTGTTTCCACTGAAATTTATCTGTATAGATGCATCTGTAGTAATGAAAGATAAGAACATTTTTGCATGACTAAAATGGTCAACATTTAATGAAAGAATACCTCCAATAGTTTGGCATATTTCATGTGAATGGACAGACAGACAGCACACATTCATCTGTCCCCCTTCCTCTTCATAGCAGGGGATAGTGAATAAATCCACAATAGTATTTCAAGTTCAACATTTATTAACAGTAAAACATTGATAAAAATCAGATTATCTCCCTTATCAATGTTATCAATGTTATCCGTATTACATCCATTCCAATAAATTGATCAAATTGTTTTGGGGGCCAAACCAAATATATGAGTTCAGTTGCAAAGATTAGGTTACATGTAATGTTGTTGAACTCAAGGATCAGGAATATACCTGCTCATCATCACACAGGTTTTCATTTCTCTTAAAGTAAGAGTTCATTGAAGGAAATTGGCAAAAGTAGAGTTGAAAACAGGCTTACATTCAGTAACACAAATTTAGGGCAAACAATGAAAAATTAGCTTGCCAATATTTACTCAGTTTCTTCTCATATCTTTATTATCTAATGAGAGTGAGTGGGTATGGTTTTACGCCGCTTTTAGCAATATTCCAGCAATATCAAGGCAGGGGACACCAGAAATGGGCTTCACACATTGTACCCATGTCGGGAATCGAACCCGGGTCTTCGGCGTGACGAGCCAACGCTTTAACCACTAGGCTACCCGACCGCCCCTTATCTAATAAGAACATTTCCCTTGTTGTGTGGTTATTTCTTCCTCACAAACGTTACTTTTTCTGTGTTTTTTTCCCCGCTTGTACATGTTGAGGCCTCGGTTACTTTTGGCGCTGTATGTAGTATCCCAACCAGGGATATTAAGACATCCATGCTCCTGTCCCTGCAACACTGATGCAAAATCATATACTTCATATCAGTAGTCTGGACAAGTTGATGTGGATCACTGAATATATATATTGAGAATGTTATAAATGATTCGCCTGTGCTCATTGCTTATGAATCTTGTATTGATAGTATGTAAGGATGTCCATGGCCACCGACAGGTCATACCAGCATAAGATTCATTTTATGAGGCCCATGCTGAACTTGTTGGTGTGTATTGAACTGGTTGCAAGCAAAAATTTGGAGGGAAAACTATTTGTGGTGAAGGGGCAGCTTGTATTTCTGCAAATACATACAAATACATCTACTTTTGTACTATTGACATAAGATTATAATGTCTTACCATTGTCACAAAAGGCACTTTCTGTTGGTGTCACTGCTTCTGGGAGTAAAACTGCAGCTGTATCCCCATCTACAGCACAATAAGTAATGCAACATTAGCACATATGCAAACATGTACTTAACCCTACCTCTGATGGTTTATACCTGTTTGACTGCACTGGCACTACTATACATATTAGCTTTGAATAAACCTGTCGCCTGTAGACTGCAGGAGACGCCACCCAATGAAATATTGTGTTGTTGATAAATGTGTTATGTAAACTTGAGATAAATTAATCAGAACATAATGTCTACATTTTCAATAAACAGTTCCATCACTTAGAATACAATATGTTCATTACCAGTATACTTCGGCATTGTATCAATGGTCACGCAAGACTAAATAATCTTATGTATGTATCATAATTGTATTGTAACATGTCGCTGTTTCTTGTAAAAAATAGGAGGTATTTTAACATATTTCTTATAGTGAGTTATGAGTGAATAATACAAGGGAAGATGGGGATATTTATTTATGAAAATGATGAAAACATTTATGAAATTGTGAAAACATTTTTGAAATTGTGCAAACAATAATAAATAGCAAGTTGCATACAAAATACAAAAAAACAAACAGTATCATTTGTAAACATACATCTCTGTTTCAAGTACCATATTGCTTCCTGACCTCATCTGCAAATATTCACACATAACTGTATTTTCTGGAATACGATTTGCTTCATTTCAAAATGGCATCACAAGTCAGTATCTCGTGTGTCCGCCATGTGCATTGATGACTGCCGTGCAACGTCGATACATGGAATGGATGAGGCGGTTGATGAAGGCCATAGGCACTTGAGCCAACACTCTGAGGAACGCCTGACGCAGTTCAGCTGCAGTTGTCGGCCTTGGTCGGACGTCATTCAGCCGTGTTTGAATCTCGTCCCACAGACGCTCAATGGGATTTAAATCGGGACTGAGGGCAGGCCACTGCATGGTTCTGATGCCATTCTGCTGGAGGAAGTCTCTTTTTGCTCTGGATACGGAACACGGGCGTTATCATGCTGAAACTCGTGGTTGCGGCGACGTGCCAAATGAGGTATGGCGTGTGGTCTCAAGACGTGATCAATGTACCGAGCTGCTTTGACACCATTGCCTCTCCCTGGACCGATGTTCTTGAAGACCACAGGGCCTACCCTCTGTACCCAGTCTCTCTCTCTATTTTATCTGCTGTTGAGATACAGTAACGGTTCTCGTCTGAGAAGAGGACTCTTTTCCACTGGTGGTGGCGCCAATGCTGGTGCTGCGTTGCGCACTGAAGACGATCCTATCGATGGCGTGGTGTCAGAATGGGTCCTAGGTGTGGCCTGTGACAGTGGAGGTGTCTGCTCATCCATCGTCGACGTATGGTGTCCGCACTAATGTGTCGCTGGTGTGTCCCCATGGTCTGTAGTGCAGTTTCCGCAGCAGTAACAAAGTGGTCTTGAAGATGCTATCGCACAATCTGACGATCCTGACGTCGGGTGGTGACCCTTGGTCTTCCACTACGTGGTCGTCATCTGTGGTGTTGGTGGTCTGGTACCGTTGCTGGAGCCTGTATATGGTCCTTACGTGGATTTGAAATGCATTGGCTACTTTCCGGGCGGTTTGTCCACCTTGCAATCGTCCAAGGGCTTGGTGTCGCTGATTTCTTATCAATCTTGGCAAGTGGTAGCAATTCAATAACGAATGAAAGTTATCCGATCTGTGTGGAATTTTATTGGGCAAGAAATGGGGAAACGCATGTGCATTTCAATTTGCACGGAACTCACGTGCATCGGGTTACCATGGCCGTTGCCGTGATGCGTTTTGGCGATCGGTTTTATTGTAATCTGCTTTGGGTTTTTTTATCATCAAATTTCCTTTTTCCGGACAAGGTAATGTTAAATTTTAGAAACTTTGACAAAAATTCCCAAGATATTTAAATGAAAACTTTTCATGCAATGTTACGTGGGGTGACGTTTCTTTTGCAGTTCAGTATATAACAACAAACTGCAACGCGTTTTGCGGGCGTATTAAAATGTAACCGTCTGTACGTCCGTCCACTCGTGCAAGAAGTCGTTTCCGGAGCAGATCTTAAAAACCGTACACTGTCTTCACCAAACTTGGTACATTGATAGGTCTAGTAGTGAACTGGTGCCTTTTGATAGATTTGGATTAAAAGAAATATATATTCGAGTTTCCGTGACAATAACTTTGACTTAGACTGAAAATGGCGGCAGTGCTCGTTTCGGTAGTTGATCTTTGAAAACAGTACAATGTTTCTTCACCAAACTTGGCACATTGATAGGCATAATAGTGAAATGGTGCCTTTTGATGGTTTGGGTTTCTTAAAAAAAACATTTTCGAATTTTGGGCAACAACTTTGACTTCAGTACTGAAAATGGCGGTAGTGCTCGCATCCGGGGTAGATCTTCAAAATTTATCAATATTTCTTTACCAATTTTGGCACGTTTGTAGGTTTAGCTGTGAACTGGTGCCTTTTGGTTGTTTGGGATTTTTAAAATAAATATATTTGAGTTTTCATGGCAACAAGTTTCATATATGTATTCACGACAGTTATTGGTGACTTTGTCCTCTTGTTTTAATAATGGCGAGAACACCCCAGTTACTAAATAATAAGTAATATCCGCTATATATGTATTTCTTTCATTCGTTACCGAGGACCAATGATTGCTATGTTTGGTGTTGTCTAATCGCAGCCTTGGACAAATCACCGCCTCCGTGGTCTAGTGGTAGAGCGTCAGCCCGGAGAGCGGAAGGTCCGGGGTGCGATTCCCGGCCGCGTCATACCAAAAGACGTAAAAGATGGTACTTGTTGTTACCCTGTCTGGCGCTCGGGGCTAAAACAAAGACTGGTCGGCTCGGAGTCAGTGTACTGTGTCTGAGTGGGGTATTCATGTTAAACTGCGGCATGGTATCTCAGTAAGCTAGCATTATAAATCGGCATATCACACACACACACACACACACACACACACGCACGCACGCACGCACGCACGCACGCACGTATGTCAGTGCAATAATCTTGGACGCGATGTTAAACCCAATTTCACTTTACCTCACCTCACCTTAGACAAATCGCGATCTCGTATGAAAATTAAAAAAATAAAATGCTATGTACAGCTACGTATTCCTGTGTTTAATATTAATTATCTTTCAGTGTTAGATATGAAGGATGAAATTGTCTTGCATCATATTGTAATCGGACGGTAAATTACGACAGAAAATAAATCTTTGCTAAAGCGTATAGAATATAACTGTACACATGGAGGATTGAACTAACTCGGGTACATACGTGCCCTTAATTCCAAACAATAACATAAATAATAAAATATAAAATCCTCACTCGCTGAATCAAATAATCTAAATATACAAGTTGAAAAAGGTTCTCTTTATTATTAAATTTAAATCTTTCAAAGTTTGAAACATTGAACATAGGAGAATGGTGACGAATGGTACTGAGAATAATACAACTCCTCACAGGGGAGCGAAGCAATGTCCGGAGCTGCAAGATTATCGAATGTAGAGTAACTTCCCTTGATCTTCGATTGAAAATACGTAAACAACCAGAACGTATCGTCAACGATAACGATTCCTGTCGTGCGGAAGGCTAATTCAGTGATATGTGAAACTATTAAGACAGGCGTATTGGTTCATACTGATACTGAATTTCACATAGACACGATTTTGTATGTTTATGATCAAGTAAAGTTGACTGACAGAAACAGCTGACCTGACAATGGCGACCTAAATCAGTATTTCACTTGCTGGACTTCGTTATTTGGTAAGTTGTCCTCGGGTTCATTCTTCATCGATCATTACCAACAATAATCATACTGAGTAATACATGTCATTTCGTCATGAATTGGCAACTGTGATAAGGCTATAGGTCACACAAAGCCAAATTTTTCCCCAAAGCCAAATGCTTCATGGATCATGGACCTATATATAGGTCGGTGCACACACATAAGACCTGACCAATCCCAAGCAAATGAATCTAGTTTCTCGTGACTTTTTAAAATCTTTCTGTGTTGGGAGGAAGAATTTTTATTTTGTGTAAATTTACATCTTGGCCTATATCTTCAGATGGTTATAGTTTAAACTTATACATCTATTTGATTCTATCGTACCATGATGTTTTTGGTTACCTGTTTTGGCCACTGTGGTCCAAAGAATTAGGAGTGGCCATGGTGATGGTGTTAATGGTTCCACTGCATGTCTCACACAAGTATGAATGACATGGCATGTGCTTAAATGTAAATATATATTGGGACTGATTGTGTTATGATAAACAAGAAATATATTTGATCTCAGTTTCATTAAAATCAGATAAGATATATTATTATACTACGACACGATATCTCTCTATGTGAAGATCTGACGACACCTTCATAGGAGGTTGAGTCAGGTGAACCTTCTAATCACCCAATCAGTGTCAAGGCTTCTAACTCCTCAGTACGATTGGCATAAGCATTCAGACAAGAATAACTTAATTTTGTATCTCGAAAACGAACTAAACTAACAAATTCTGAATGTAAATCAATAAGGCGGTGCCGTTATGTTGTTGTAGATGTTTTATGCACCCTGTTGTTTCCATGTGCTGTGGCATCGACAACCGGTACCTTTTTGGCTTTTCCTTTTGAGGTACATTGACTACTTAAAGTTTTGAAAGTTAGAAACCTGAGCATTTATGCATACCATACATAATTTAAAAGATATGTAAAGGTAACTTGGTAAACAGTTATACAAGTTATATTTACGTATGTCTTAAACTTGTCGCCATTGCATCTCTTGGCTTTTGGAGATCTATGTGGATAGCAGATCTAACTGCAATTCTTGTTTAAAAGCAGCAACAAAAATCTTGCATGTTCCTACCATTGCTACTTCAATGTCTCTTAATTTGTTTTACTTACTTCTAATTGGTTAACACAAATGACATTTAACCTCTTATATGAAATACAGGGTCATGTATGTTTGTATTCATTTTCGAACAATATCATAGTAAGTTGTTGTTTCTTCATAAATGTACTTGTTTGAACAAAACAACTGCTAGTTAACATGAGAGCGTGCTTCTCAGCTTAATCTCTTAGCTTGTTTCTCTTGTGACCTGTGAAGATCCGAGGTAGAGTAGGTCTTCAGCAACCCATGCTTGTCGTAAAAGACAACCCTGCTTGTTGTAACAGGCGACTAACGGAATCAGGTGGTCAGGCTTGCTGACTTGGTTGATGCATGTCGTGGTATCCCAATTGAGTGGATCGATGCTCATGACCGCCATCATATATCTGGAATATTGCTGATGGTGGCATTAAACAACAAACAAACAACAAAATTGTTCTTCTCCTGGACTATACATCAGTAGGTAATTTGTCTTTGTTGTTTCAAATAAGTCTAGTGATTTTGGCATGTAGTAATTATGGCATGTAGTTTTGGGAGACAACCTCCCCAACATTTTCATTAATAGAGATTATTATACGAACATATATGTCATACTGCTTTTATGAAATGAGTATCAGAATTATTGTATTTCCCGAGCGTGAGCGATTCGTAAAATCAGTATGACACACATGCAAGTGTAATAATTTCTTTATACCCCATTATTTCTTAACCTTTTAAGCTCACCTTCAGCATGTTCAGACAAATGCATTGATCACAGCACCGCCGTCTTAGAGATCACAGTTGCCTGATGTCAGTCTTCAGCTATGATGTCGCTTCTAGACTAAGTGTTATATCATTCCTACTTTAGGTCATAATAAGATTTGAATGATGTCAACAATGCTGTCCAGATAACATAAACAATATGCTTGTGCGCATGAAGTGATATTTTCACTAGTGCACATACAATTTTTATGCACTCGGTTATTCATGTCATTTGTAACCCTATAATACTTACAAATGTGAACCAATCTTAAACCTTGCATGTTTATCAACATGATTATAAGATCAAAGTTAATAATTTTCAAATAATTTTCAAATATCATTTTCAGATCAACATGGAGAAAGGGATCCCAGTACCAGACAGATTGTCACAAGACTTCCATAAAGAGTTACTGGACAATGTCGATGAGTTCTATCACTTAAATTCCATTCTTCACATCGAAGGCAACAAGACAGATATACTAGAATACATTGCGAAAGAAGGCCCTGGGATGGTCTATAGGTTCAATAGGCTGTGTTACTACAAGGAGTCCCATTTCATCGAAGATATTCCAGACTACCCCCTCAGCTGGGCTGCAGCAGGTGGGGATGTGGACATCGTAAAGGCGTTCATCAAAGCTGGGTTCGACCCTCACATCACAAATAAGGAAGAAAACACACAGAAGGATTTCCGGATACCACTTGTGCGAGCTGTTGAAAAAGGTCATCTGCCTATTGTGAGATTGCTTGTTGAAGAACATGGCTGTGATGTTAATGTCAGCGATGGCTACTTTAAACGGACTGCCCTACACCGAGCTACGCAGAATGGTGATATTACGATGGTTAAATACCTGGTTGAACAAGGAGCAGATGTGAATGCTGTGGACAGTGTCAATGGAGTGCCGTTGTATCACACACTAGATGATCACAAAATGGTGAAGTATCTTATTGCCAATGGTGCCAAAGTTAAAACCTGGGGAAGGCATAATTTACCTTTGCTTACCTATGCTGCGGACTGTTGTGATGATTTGGAGGTATTTCGGACGCTTATAGAAGCAGGAGCGTGTGTTAATGATGGCGGACCGCCCACGACACCTTTCAATAGTGCCGCTGAGCGTAACAGGCTTGATTTGATGAAACTGTTGTACGAATATGGTGCTGATGCAGACTTGCAGGACATGTATGGGTTAACGGCAATGCATGTGGTTAGTAAACACGGAGACACTGTCTGTGCACAGTATCTGATCATGGATTTGAATGTTTTTCTGGACAAAACAGATGGGTTCGATCGTACCCCTTTTTCAGTTGGAGTGAAATGTGAGAACCCTCAGCTTCTTCATCTGTTGATGGATGCAGGTTACAGGCCGACGGGCAAGGATAGTGATTACATCGATCATAAGAAACTTACCACTACAGATTTGTTACTGAAGGCTGCACTGCATCGTGCACAGGCCATTGCAGCTAGTCCAAGTTCGCTTCAAGACAGCTGTTGTTTCAGGCTTAGACGGATGTTAGGCAGGAATGTCCTGTCCAAGGTGGAACAGTTGAGTCTTCCGGTTGTCATGAAGGACATGATCAAATTGAACCATTTGAAAACTTGATATTTTTGGTTTCAGGTTGTTTCCTTTGGGAAAAGTTCAACTGGACCTGTTTTATGTTGGCTTTTACTTGATGGGTAGGGATTGTGTTAAACAGCATCATTATTGATCATTGTGATGGACTTGTCCAAAAACTTCTTCTAATCTCATTAAAATCAGATATTAGTTCGCACCCGCTAAAAAAGATCTGAGGACATCCTATTAGGTACGTTTGGGTCACATCAGACCAACCTTTTATCCGACCAATCAGAGCGTCGCTTACCAGTTTGGGAAAGTGACAGTCGGAATGTAGTTTCTAATCATGCAAACACAAAAAGGTTAACACAAGTATTCCGAAGACAGTTAGGGGCTGTACGACTGATTCCATCAAAATCATCATGCATTTCTCACTTCAATTATGATAATCATGACAATGGGATAAACATTTGTAACTGAGGAGACTTTACATAGCCCAAGGGAAGTACTGCCATAAAATATCAGCCATAATTTAGACATTGACGGAAGTTACCAGTTTGGAACTAGTGCCATATAGCTCGAGAAAGCTGCTTTCTGATTCGCTAATGTCAACCTCTTGTTAGTTTCTTTGGTTGGTCAAAGTTCGCAAAAGGTCATTCTGATGTGACCTGTTATGGGATGTCATGTGATCTTTGTGTAGCAGCAGAGAGCACTAAGATCTGATTTTAATGAGATTGAAATTTCTTCTTTCTCATGACCTGTCCACCCCTAAAAATGCCCCTAACATTTATATATATTTTAAGCACTGTTAACATTCAGACTGTTCATGACTCAAGACACAAAATGGTCTGTATTTTAAAGCTTTCCTCCCACATCAAGCTGGCATGCCATGATATAACTGGAAAGCTGTTCGAAGGTGTTAAACCCATTTCATCACTCACATCATATTTTTATATTTTAAAGTGTTATCATGGATATATTTTCTGGTGTTGCCAGTGCATCATGGGTTTGTTTTATTATTTTTCTGTTCCCATTTTTCAGTCCAAAAAAAGGAGATAGAAGTTTGGTCACGTAACAGTACTAGCAGGATTAGCATTTCTATTTGTTCCACCCAACAGTTATATCTGATGCCAAATAAACCATTGAAAATGTTAAACTACATAAAGAATGATCGTTCAACTGACCCAAGTTAATTGGGCAGGAGACCCGTGAAGATCTGGGGTAGAATAGGTCTTCGGTTACCTATAGTTGCTGTAAATGGTGATTATCCTTGTCATAAGAGGCGACTAACGGGATCGGGTGGTCAGACTCGCTGACTTGGTTGAAGCATGTCATCGTATCCCAATTGCGTGGATCGATGCTCATGATGTCAATCACTGGATTCATTATTTACAGACCGCAGTCATATAGCTGGAATCTTGCTGAGTGTGGCTTTAAACAACAAACAAACAATAATTGGGCAGGAAAATTTTGTAAACCCCCAAAAAGAGATGCTTTGCACCACAGGTAGCATTGAAAGGGTTGTCAATAAAATGGAGATGTTTAGGGAATTACTGATATATAGGCAATACAGGTAGAGGGTTCAATGTCTTAGAAATCCTCCCTGTAACCAACTGGGGGTGGGTATGTGTATTTGTTCACGTTGAGGTGCTTCCAACAAGTTCAATAGGTAAACTATTCCCCTGTGTGAAGGGGGAGATAAACATTTTGTGTTTTGAGATTATCGGGTGATGTGGAGTATTTGTGGCAGCAAATTTCATCTGGGATCAATCCAGCAAGACAGAGGTTTCAAATGTTAAGGTTTCCAGGCATGGAATACACGGTAACATCAACAAATGTTTATGGACATTGTAAACAAGAACAATTATGATTACTCTCTGTGCATGCTCTTTCTATGCTTACTCAAATAGTCGTGAGACATTCGGTATTGTTTCGTACTTCTGTGATGGTTTGTTTTCTATTTATTAGTAGTACTTAATAGCAATATGTAATCAGCTTATATTGGATGCAGTATTCTTGTTGTCATGGTTGAGTGCTGTATTTGTTAAATTTTATATATGATACTTATCAGGAAATGTATTCATATGCAGTGACCAGCAACTGGTCCTGGGTTTAGAATCCAATGTAATGTTTTCATCCCATTCAATTTACAGTGTTATAATATCTATTTAGCATGTTGAGGTATCTATTCTGTTATTCATTTATTATACTTTTCATATCATATATGACAATATTCACAGCTTCCAACATGTTTGTAACTGAGTTTGTAATGCAGAATTACTTGACTGAATATGCATTTTTGTAATCAATATACCAACATGGCCAATGGGCAGGACGGGATGTAATGTGAAAAGGTGAAAAAATCAGAATCAATTTGACATATTCATGTTTGAGGTTATTTTCTTATGACAAATAGTACACTTCTTGGAATCTCCAAATCTTTGACAATGCACGTTAGGTTGTTTTTATAGAATAAGTGAGGACCTGTGAAGATCCAGGTTAGAATAGCTCTTCAGCAATGCATGCTTGTTGGAAGAGGCGACTAACAGAATTGGGTGGTCAGACTCACTGACTTGGTTGATGCATGCCGTCGTATTCCAATTGCGTAGATTGATGCTCATGATATCAATTAGTGGATTGTCTGGTCCAGACTCGATTATTTACAGACTGTTGTCATATAGCTGGAACATTGCAGGGTGCGGCGTTAAACAGCAAACAAGAATAAATGAGTTACTGATTATGGTTTTACGCAATTTCAGCAATATCATGGCAGTGGGGACACCAGAAATGGTCTTTACACATTGTACCCATGTGAGGAATCAAACGCTGGTCTTCGAAGTGACGAGCGAATGTTTTACAACTAAGCTACCCTACCACCACTATAAAAGTAAATAAGTAGGGCCTGACAACAATACCAGTATTGTCATTCTAGGATAGCAGCACCGAGCAAAACAGAAATGTCTGTATTGATTTGTCACTATGGTCAGGACATATATAGTCATCATCTAGGGTTTGCCTGTCCGTCTCTCCGTATTTCGTTTCGGAGCATAACTTGAAAACCGCAAAAGATTTTTCATCCAATCTTGCTACATGTATTAACCAGGGGCTGAAGTGGCACCTTTTGCTATTTTGGAATTTTTTTTAATTTAATTTTTTCCTGTTTAAATTACTTTGACTCTGTTCATTTTGGTGTGTACCAGGGATCCGGAAATATTTTTTTGTCAATCGGACATTTGCATTTTGGTCATGCCCACCTAAACTATGTCACTTTCATAACATACATAGTGTTCCCTCGCTATTGTGTACCTCAATACAGTGCTACCCATTTGTTTGTTTATGAGTCTGACCATCATGGTGAATGATACTGTATTACATGTTAAAATCTTTTATTTTATCTTTCATATCGTTTCGCATCTGTACTTCTGTGATTGGATGGCATACAAGTTGAAATCTGAAAATTTGAGAAAAATATCCGACCACTACATTGAATTTCAGGTTGATTTTTTTAGAATTCAACTAATGAAAAAAGGCCATGATTGTCACACTATTCAGGTTAAGCTGTCGTTAGGTCAATCTGTCTACTGTACATTTGGTGATGAAACAATTCCCCACAACCTTCATGAGCATAATGCAATTAGATACATTTCTTTTATAACGATGCGACTAGATATGATGCCAGGTCTAAAGTAGCAATAATTACAATGAATTTTTTTATCATCTAGTGAACGTGATGAGCCTGGTCAGACATGTCAGTAGCCATGTGTATGAGTGGACAGATAAACAAAATCTCACATTTCACAGGATAACTCTGTTTATCAACCTTCAGGGCAGTCCTGCTACACATCTGCGAGCAGGACTGAGACAAATGAAGCTCTGGACTCTGACCTATTCAATGAACATTTATTGACTCTCTAATAAGTGTTTGTTTTTCATCATGTATTTGTGTACCTGCACCTCAGATGTTCCACTACCAAAACTGTAGGGATATTGACTGATGCACCTCAGAAAATGTGGGTACAAGTATCACGTAACTAGATTTTGGGAGAAAATAACTATTCTTTCCAGATTTTCACTTTTCTTCGTAAAATGTTTTTGAATTGCTTTTATTTCACCAATCCACATGGGTGTCTATTTTTGTAGGAGATATTAATAAAAAAGTATTATGAATTTATTTCATAATTTGATTTCATTGTTTATAGATCCCTTAATTTCTTAAATATTTTGTCTTCGTGCCAATATCACTGATCTTGACAATGAGATTTATTTGCAATTGTCATAATCTTATAATGTTACCATGGTTACCTGATAGTCTAGATTATTTAAGTTATTTGACTTTACATAGCCTGTGATGGTTCAAACAGACAAGTTGTTATCATTGTGTGAATAAACAACACCACAGGAAGACTTGTGATTGTTTGTTTTTCTGTAAGGCAAGTGAATGTTGTTTTCTACCACAGTAAAGTAGGCTAGTGGTAGCTAGTGGTTGATAGTGCGAGGAACAAATCACAGTACGGTTATTATGACATCATCAGGTAGGTCACACATTTAATAAACTACCTGAATACACCTTTTGGTATGACGCAGCCAGGAGATCAAACCTACAACCTGCTCCCTGGGCAGACACTATCCAAAACACCACACGAGGTGGTCTCGGGTAGACACTATCCACAACACCACATGAGGTGGTCCCGGATAGACACTATCCATAACACCACACAAGGTGTTCCCGAGCAGACACTATCCACAACACCACATGAGGTGTTCCTGGGCAGACACTATCCACAACACCACACAAGGTGGTCCCGGGCAGACACTATCCACAACACAACATGAGGTGTTCCCGGGCAGACTCTATCCACAACACCACATGAGGTGTTCCTGGGCAGACACTATCCACAACACCACACAAGATGGTCCCGGGCAGACACTATCCACAACACCACATGAGGTGTTCCTGGGCAGACACTATCCACAACACCACATGAGGTGTTCCTGGGCAGACACTATCCACAACACCACACAAGGTGGTCCCGGGAAGACACTATCCACAACACAACATGAGGTGTTCCCGGGCAGACACTATCCACAACACAACATGAGGTGTTCCCGGGCAGACACTATCCACAACACCACATGAGGTGTTCCTGGGCAGACACTATCCACAACACCACACAAGGTGGTCCCGGGCAGACACTATCCACAACACAACATGAGGTGTTCCCGGGCAGACACTATCCACAACACAACATGAGGTGGTCCCGGGCAGACACTATCCACAACACCAAATGAGGTGGTCCCGGGTAGACACTATCCACAACACCACACAAGGTGGTCCAGGGAAGACACTATCCACAACACCACATGAGGTGGTCCCAGGCAGACACTATCCATAACACCACACAAGGTGTTTCCGGGTAGACACTATCCACAACACCACACAAGGTGGTCCCAGGTAGACACTATCCACAACACCACATGAGGTGGTCCCGGGCAGACACTATCCACAACACCACACAAGGTGGTCCCAGGTAGACACTATCCACAACACCACATGAGGTGGTCCCGGGTAGACACTATCCACAACACCACACAAGGTGTTTCCGGGTAGACACTATCCACAACACCACACGAGGTGGTCCTGGGTAGACACTATCCACAACACCACATGAGGTGTTTCCGGGTAGACACTATCCACAACACCACACAAGGTGTTTCCGGGCAGACACTATCCACAACACCACACAAGGTGTTTCTGGGTAGACACTATCCACAACACCACACGAGGTGGTCCTGGGTAGACACTATCCACAACACCACATGAGGTGTTTCCGGGTAGACACTATCCACAACAACACACAAGGTGGTCCAGGGCAGACACTATCCACAACACCACATGAGGTTGTCCCAGGCAGACACTATCCATAACACCACACAAGGTGTTTCCGGGTAGACACTATCAACAACACCACACAAGGTGGTCCCAGGTAGACACTATCCACAACACCACATGAGGTGGTCCCGGGCAGACACTATCCACAACACCACACAAGGTGGTCCCGGGCAGACACTATCCACAACACCACATGAGGTGGTCCCGGGTAGACACTATCCACAACACCACATGAGGTGGTCCCGGGTAGACACTATCCACAACACCACACGAGGTGGTCCTGGGTAGACACTATCCACAACACCACATGAGGTGTTTCCGGGTAGACACTATCCACAACACCACACAAGGTGTTTCCGGGCAGACACTATCCACAACACCACACAAGGTGTTTCCGGGTAGACACTATCAACAACACCACACGAGGTGTTCCTGGGTAGACACTATCCACAACACCACATGAGGTGTTTCCGGGTAGACACTATCCACAACACCAAACAAGGTGTTCCCGGGCACTCCGGAACATCTTCCATGTTGTTGGGACAAAAGGCTACAGTAGTTGCCTTTGGATGGATTTCTCAGGTTCGAATTCTGCTTACAAGAAACATTTTATGTCTAATTGTTCAATCAATGACGATAAAAAAGAAGTCTATGATTGGTCATTGTTGGAAAGTGGTGTTTATTAAAAGAATTCAGTTATACCTGGTCCAAAACAAAGTAGCCATGGATCAAAGCAGAGTTAACCCCTCAGATCACTAACTTACCCCTAGCATACTACAGTGAGTGAGTAAGTGAGTTGGGTTTGAATACCGCATTTAAAATTATTCCAGTTATATCATGGCGTGTCAGCTTAATGTGGGAGCAAAGCCCGATGTGATGCAGGTCTCAGACGTTTACCACTTCGGTGAAACCCATGAGCATGGGTATGGTGCTGACAAACCTAGAAACATAATCAGGGCAAACCGGGATTCGAACCCACAATCACAGGTTTCTGGCGTGCCCAAGGGACGCATATCTGCACAGAGCCACCCGTGCCTCCCTAGCATACTATAGGACCACAAAAAAACACTAAACAAAGTTCAGAAAAATATGGATTCATAAATATATCAGGAATACAATTAAACATATCCATGATATCTGTGATCAATAAAGACTGAAGAGTAAATATTTTCAGGATGCAACGGTGTTATTTTGGACATAAAGTCTTCTGAAGACATATTGATTTATGAACTTAACTTGCACATAGTAAGCAAATATGAAAAATAAGAGATAATGCATATATTTAATATATTACAGAATATAGTGATATCCCCTCCCCTTACTAAATTCAGGGCGGAGCATCATTTCTAGCCAACCTAGAGAAGAAATAGAGCAGATAATATTCTCTTTAAACTGTTAATATTGTACTGCTCTGTTGTTTATAAGCTAGTGAAAAGTTCTATCCCTGATATCACTGACAAAGTATGAAAAACACACACACAAACTGAGTTTCCTCCTATACCAAACACTGACAATAACAGAAACTACTGGATACTGTTACATATCTCAGTTTACAGATTCAATGAACAGGAGTAAATGCCAGAAACAAAAAATATCAATAGTTTCAGTTTATTTTACTTGCCCGACACCACACGATACAACCACAAAAAATCCTACATAATGAAAGGAATGGTAACTTCTCAAATAATACTTGATCATATGCACTGTACGTAGTCTCTAGACACAACCAGCATCCTAACAAGAGAACACCTTCTCAGAAGGAAATAAACTGAACAAAAATATTGGGGATCATGAATATTTTGGGGAATATTTTTTGTAAGGAAGACTGAGCACACAATTTAAAAAAGTATCTCCCTAAAATAAATTACCTGTAACTTTCTTGTTAACTATACAATTCATATGAAGACATGCATTGTAAGAGCACTATTTACTCACTGAAGACTATGACACCCTACAATGAAACATTATTATCTTGTAGTTTACCTAAACACCTTTCTATTCATGTTATTAGGGATTTCACAATTGATACATATCGTGATATTTGAGTCATGATACCATACATCGTGTGTGATCCTGAACTTACAATGTTGTAGTGAAATTCTCCATGTCACATGTACCTGGCTTCTAGAGGTTGTTGCTAGCAAATAGTTTCTGTTCAAATTGCATGACAGGTTCATTTCAATTGGTTCCAATCATACAACAGTATACTACTCCTCTTGTAGGGATAATCCATCTTCCCGAGGCAAGAGAGTTAACTGACTTTAAAAGTCCAGTTTCCACCCTTGCCGAACTAGGCTGGAATTCCTGGGCTCGATCGTACCGCCACCAGTGGCTATTACGAGTAATGTCCTTTCTATGTCTCTCCTACCTACCAATCAGATTCAACCTCTCGTATCACAAGCATTTGCTTCAAACAAAACGGTGGCGCCATGTCAAGACGATCTGATCGATAATCAAGATCTATATTGTGATCAAACGAGTCTTACATCGCGAAGTGCATCAAATCACGTGAGTACCTTGATTAAAAACATGAAAAGATATAGAAAATATTTGTTGACAATGAGTTAGTGGTGCACATGCTTTGCAAATCCTGCAGTCGACCGAACTATGCATGACACTTTACGAACCGGATTTCGATTTCGGTGCGCGATTTTGATTGGACTATGCATAGACTCATTAGTCCAGCCAAAATGTAACTCCATAATACCAGCCTATTTCGGCAAGGGTGGAAAACTGGACTTTTATAGTCAGTTAACTCACTTGCCTCGGGAAGATGGGGGATAATCAGACATGTCATTCTACTTAAATATACACTTGACATATTATGAAATTCATTTTTGTGTATCATAAACATATCCTTATCAAATGTTGAGTAACATGTAATGCAATCAGCCACAGCATTTTGATTCATGATATGCAGTAAGGTAATGCTAGCCTCAGTAGTACCAGTACGATATTGTAAATATTTGTAAAACTTTACTTTCTGAAAATCAATACAGTACAAAAACAAGAATTGATACGTAGGTATCTTATCAACAGGAGTAAATTTGGGATACATATCAGTGAATCGAACACCCCTACTGTCTGCCAGTCCACAGGCTTGACCATCTCTTACTTCACTGTCCCTATCATCCTTCACCTTTATCATTGTGACCTTGACCAACACACCTATTCCCTTTCTTTTCCTCGGCTTTTCTCTGTGCTCTGATTTCTTTTCTCCTTGCTTTCTTTTTATTCCTCTTCTCTTTTATCTCCCGCTTTTTCTTGTTTTTTTTCTTCTTCTTTTGGTCCTTACTTGAATAATTATCATTACCTTGTTTCCTGCAATTATGCTCCTTGGGACTTTCCCCCACTCTTGCATCACTGTCATCTCCTCCACTAACCTTTCTATCATGTATGTGCTTACTATATTTGTCCTTGTCCTTCGAACCCTTACCATCCTTCCTGAGCACATTAATGTCCTTCTTAGAAACCTCACTATCATTCCTGTCCACATTCTTGTCCTTCTCAAAAACCTTCCTGGCCATGTCCTTGTGCTTCTTAGAAACCTCACTATGTTTCATGGTGACATCCTTGTGCCTCTCAGTAACCTCATGAACCTTCCATTGAGACATCCTGTCAACACTACATTTCCTGGAACTCCTATCCCTTTTATGATTTCTGGATGTTTCACTATCAGCAATGTACCTCCTGCTAGCATGTCTAGTCTCGCTTGTACTCGTGCTAGTCCTGCTAGATACATCTTTACTGCCCCTATCCACACTAACCATCCTGTCATCACTTTTCCATCTCGACCTCCTTCCATCGTTTCCACTGTCCACATGTTTCCTGGACTTTCTGCTCCCACCATCTGTCCCGCCAGACTCGCTATCACTAACCTTCTTGTTGTTACGATAGTGTCTGTTGGTAGACTTCTTGAATGATTTGATACAAATCTTCTGACCCTCTGCATGAGCTCCTTTGCCATCCTCCTTTACTTGTTCATTGCCTTCCTCTGCTCCACAACCTTCAGTTGCCATCTTGTAGTCTCTGAATACATCCATCACAGTTTCCTCAGTTTCCACAGGCTCATCGTCACCTGCAACATCTCTGTCCACTCTCTTGCTTTCATTATTTGACTTATGACTTTCTTTATCATCAATTGTGTTTTCAATGTCCACTTTCTCCCTTGACACATGCTCTATGTGTACCTTATCAGAGGCCTCTGTTTCATCAACAGCTGAAAACACATCTTCTCCATTCTTTTTCTTCTCAGCCTCACTGCCTGCTTTGTCACACTGTTCATCAGCTTTTTCACTTTCTCCTTTTGCATTCATACCCAAACTGTCATCTTTCTTACTTTCCTGACGAACACCTTCCTCCCTCCTAGTCTCACTGCCTGTCTCAGACACTCCTAACACTATCTCCTGTGTACCTCCATGAAGTGGCTTCTCAGTCATTGTGTCTTCTTTGCTCTGCTTCTCCCCTCCATCTCCCTCACTCCCTGCCCCAATCTCACAATGTCTGCTGTGTGGGACACTACTGGACACTCTCTTTCCATCTTCAGTGTTGTAGCTCTTCTGTCCCTGGCCACCATGTTTCCCACTACCCTTGCCTTCAATCATCACCCTCAGCTGTATGCTCCTAACATCCTTGTCCATACACTTGTCATCTTGTCTCTCTTCTCCCTCTAATACCACGCCATTGTCCTCGCCATCCACTCTCTCCTCTTCCCCTTGATTATCAAGCTTGGCAGTCTTGTTCCTTCTTTCCTTTCTCTTCAAATCCTCACATCTGCTTGAACTATTACTGTCACTATGCTCCTTCCTTCTTTCCTTTCTATCCTGTCGTGATGCTTCACTGCCATTACTACTGTGTTCATCATTCTTCTTCTGACTGTCATTTCTGCTCCTCCTCCTCTTCTTCTGCTTCTTTTTCTTTTTCAGATGCCTGCCAGCTTTGGAAGTCTGGCCAATCACACTGCTGCCTCTGTCACTATCTTCACTGGAACTGCTGCTATTCTCACTATTTGTACCTTGGCTGTCACTCCTCGACCTTTCACAGTCTCTTCTTCTCTGTTCCTTATTCCAGCTCCTCCCACATGTCCTCTCCTCCCCTGTCTCCCCTAACCTCTCACTATCCGTCCTGCTGCAACTTTCTCCCTGGGTGGTCTTCTGTTTCTTAGTGACAGGACTTCTGTGTCTACCCGGACTGCCATCTCTTTCCCTCACACTATCCCCTCTGCTGTAACTTTCTCCCTGGTCTGTCTTCTGTTTCTGAGTGACAGTGCTTCTTTGTTTACTCAGACTGCCATCACTCTCCTTATCCCATCTGGACACACGCTTGCCTCCAGATTTACGTTTGTCCAACCTCTCTCTGCCACCACTGCCAGTCCTTTCACTTCCACTATTCTGGTCGCTATCTCTACTCTGTGAGCACTTCCCATGGCTATCTGGACACTCACTGCTGCTCGTCCTTTGCCCACAACTCTCACTCCCCTTCATGTGACTGAAACTGTGCCATTCCGCTCTTCTTCTGTCCATATCATCAGAATTGTGCCTGTGATACCTATCTGAACTATAAATGGCTGCAGTGTTGTAACCTGTCTTCTCCCTACTTTCTCCTTCCTTGTCACCCAAAACTCCTTCCTGTCTCATCAGGTTGTCTCTGACATCGGTGATGATTCGGCCAAGCAAGTTTTTACCCTTCCACGTCCGCTCGTCCCAAGCCCGGGGGTCATTTTTGTGTAATGCAATTCCCCAGGTAGCATCGTAGGGACTTGCCTCCACCATCAGTCGAGGTGAAGTGGCAAACAGCTTTTTCTTCAGGTTGGGATTTTGGGAAAACTGGAAACATAACAAACATATTGTTTATACATAAATTCTCCCTACCCGACACACATAGATGGTTCACCATCCCTTGTATTTGCGACTTAAAAAGTAGTTTGCAAAATCTTAGGTGGGTGGAAATTGGGTTTAACGTCGCGTCTAAGATTATTGCACTTATATAGCGATGTGCAAGCACGTGTGTGTGTGTGGCTGATTTTACTAGTTTGGACTGATGCTGATTTATAGTGCTAGCCCACTGAGATACCATGCCGCAGTTTAACATGAATACCCCACTCAGACAAAATATACTGACTCCGAGCCGACCAGTCTTTGTTTTAGCCCCTTAATGGCGAGCGCCAGACAGGGTAACAACAAGTACCATCTTTTAACGTCTTTTGGTATGACACGGCCGGGGACCAAACCCCAGACCTTCTGCTCTCCGGGCGGACGCTCTACCACTGGACCACGGAAGCGGTCTGCAAAATCTTAATAAATATAAACAAAAGTATCCAAAAACATTTAGGGTCACGAAACTTCTTTATCATACATTTAAATATGATTATATACAAAATCATTTTTAACAAAATATTTGGAAAACTAGGACAATGCTGTTGGAGGCGAAAGAATACACGCTGGTCAAGTAACAAAAAGGGCGCTTTGCAAAACAAACAGTCTCGATTGACAAGTTAATTTTGGAAGTTTACAGTACATAACGAAAAAATACCAAACAGCAAGAAGTGATAGTAACTCCACAAATCTGTCATTATATTGTCTTGTCAATGTGGAACTAGTGTGAAAAAGGAGATCAACAGTTTGTGTACGAGCCAGACACTTATGATAAAGGAAGACAATTTAAGGGAAGGTAACTCTTGTATGACAATAGTTCTATCAAAGTGTTATCAAGTGTTATGTTCACTGCAGTGGAAATATCACTTTTCTTAACTTCAGAAAATGCAGTCTTTCACACAAAAGTATATAATAAATGTCTAAATTATGATAAGCAAGGGAAGGAACTTTTGTGCATTATTCACTGCAGTAGAGTTCATGTATGCCTGCATTCAATCAGTACATACATGTCTGTAAAGAAATACAGATACCCAAGCTTAAAAGGTTACACTTGGTATGTATGCACAGTGTTATAATACTGTTTGGATTTGTAAAAAATGTCATACATTGATTGGTATTGGTGCTTTATCTGAGGTATATTATGCAAATACACTGCTTATCTGGAGGTCCATAGTAGGGCTGCATCAAATACACTATGAGACGAATACCTGAGTGAATTGTAACAGCTCTAGTCTTTAGGGAAACACAGGTATCTGCTCTATGTTCCCATAGAATGGTAAGTGGGGATATCATCGTAGATCACCAAAAATGCTTAATGTCCATACTGTATCGATATACATTTAAGAATAATAAATTAATAATTCATCGCCACAGAAACCTTCACATTTGTTAAGATCATAATGGGTAAGTAAAAGATGGTCAAAAGAAGTCAGAAATTTACTTTTTAAAATTTAATGGATCAAGTTCTTTTAAAGCATTTATTGCAGGTCTTGAGAGGCATTTTCTATGTAAACACATACATAATAACTAATTTTGTTATAAGTGTAGATATATCAATACTAAACTTTCTAATCCATGACAACCAAAATGGTAATTGCATCATAAGTTAGTGAGTATGCATTTATGTCACTTTTAGCAATATTCCATATATCATGGCAGGGACACCAGCCTCACACACTGTGGGGAATCAAACCAGGGGGCTTCAGTGTGACGAGAAAATGCTTTACCCACAAGGCTACCCCACCACCCCAAGTGCATCATACCGCCCCCACAGACTGACCTTTGCCATGTTGCCTCTTTCCACAACCTCCTTGCTGTGCTGCATCCACGTGTCAAAGTTGAAGTTCTGGATCTGCTTGCCCAGACGCTTCTGTTCCTTGGGATTACTGGAATTCATTATCTTCTCTTCAATAGCTTTGTCTTTAAACAGCGCTGGAAAATGAAAACAAGTGTCAGCCGAAAAAAAGCAAAATTGTAAACACAGGCAGCAAATGTATAAATATATCTCATGAGTCTCTGTAGCTCACTGGATTGTTTATATATTTGCAACTCGTATTATGTAAAACTTAAATCCTTAGATCATAAAGAGGCCAAAACTTCTACCAAAATCATATAACAATGTTTTGGATACTGAATTATGAAGTAATGCATAAACAAGTAGAGACATTTGACCATGGCATCCTATCAATTTTTGAGTCTAATGGACTAATATATTTTGAGGGTCCAAGGCATGAACATTAGGGTCTCAAGCTGTTGATATGTGGTACATTTCAAAATACATACTCATTCCACATGATCATAATCTACTGTGGATGACAGTTTCAAGGTTTCAGTGAAGAAAATCAACCACTGACACATTGAACATTGAGTCTGCCAGAACAGAAACATCAGTCATATGTAACGTGCAATCTACAATTCTGATAAATTCAATATTTCAAACACCCAATACATTTTTTTTCATCTTCCCGAGGCAAGGGAGTTAACTGACTGTAAATTGTAAAAGTCCACTTTCCACCCTTGCCAGAATTTCTTAGTTTGATCGTAGCGCCACCAATGGCTATTATGGTTATGTCCCTTATATCCCATCCTACTGACCAATCAGATACCACCTCTGAAAATCACTTGCATTTGCATCAAACAATGAGGCAGCACCCAGTGAAGATGATTTGAACGATAATCAAGATATATATTGCAATAATTGCAACGTGCATCAAATCATGTGAGCACCTTGATTAAAAACATAAGATTTTGAAAATAAGTTGATGGTACACATGATTTGCAAATCCTCCGATCAACAGAGTTCTGCATGGCAGTTTACGAACCGGATGTTGATATCGTTATGCGATTATGATTGGACTAAGCATAGACTCGTTAGTCCCACCAAAATATAACTCCATAATTCCAGTCTGGTGTGGAAACTGGACTTTTATAGTCAGGTAGCTCCTTTGCCTTGGGAAGATGCATACCCCTTGTTCCTTGAAAACAAGAGACCCATAGGATCTGTATCGGGTGGGAGATCAGCACCTCCATTTGTACAATTATGAATTCCCACCACCTGGGAATACTTCCAATCAAATTTGGTTGATGTCCATCTCTTAGTTCCAGAGAAAGAGTCGTTTAAAGCAATATAGCCAAATTACCCCTATTTGGCCCCGCCCCTCAGCCCCTTGGGGGGTCAATGGGGGGTCAGCCCCACCATTTGTACAATTTGGAATCCCCACCAGCTAGGGATGCTTCAAGTCGAACCCGGTGAGCTAACAATAACAAATGTTTCAGGATGCCATTGTTGTAAACACATTTTACTAGTTTTATTTTCATAAAATGTTTGTTTTCTACTTTAGTAATACATAAATATTTAAACTTAAAATGTGTCATTTTCTCATTCCTGATTCTGAAGGTACCACCTGCAAATTACAATTTGTTTAACCTTCTGGGATACACGTGCGCTTTGTGACAGTATAGCCTGTACTGGTAGGTATGCTACAAACTTTATTTGCGCCTTGTTGATCCTCTTGATCAAGGTTCTCTTGCAATATATATTTCTCAAAATCTTGAAAGGTGGCAAGTGGAAGGGGAGTAACTGGATTCAGAGTTCCATTTCGACATCAGTTAAAAAATGTTTTTTAAATAAGTTTTCAAAAATGTTTTCAAATAAGTTTTAATGAAACCTAGCATTTAGTTTGGGGACAACAAATGTAAAGCATATTATTTAAACAAAGAATTTAACAGAAGCTTTCTTCAATATGTTCTGTGTTTACATAGGGATAAATGTGAAAGGGCCTTTCCATGTTTACTGTGGGTAGAATCTACTTAAATCTGCATTTGGTTGGAAATGGAATTACATGAGGATGACAGTGTTATTCTTCAGGGCAAGTTATTTTCCGGTTTCAAATGGTGAATTCAACAATCCACAAAAATTCAGTTATTTATTTATGAAAGCTCTTTTACCAAAAATATAAATATTAATAGAAGCGGTCATAAAATAACAAACAGGCAGCAAATGGTCTGTAAACAAAACCTGTCAACTCACCTGCCTTCCTGTACATGTAATACTGCTCGGCGCAGTTGAAAACTTTGTTGTCAACTGTGAACGTGACTGGGTGATGTTGACTAAAAGGTGATTGCCAACCAAAGAAAAGTTCATATTTTTGTGACTGTCTGTCAGCGAAGCTGTCAATGTTGCGAATGTTGCGGTTGTTGGGTTGTCTTGTTTGCCTGTAACTTTCGCTTCTGCGTCGTTTGGGTGTATCAAACTTGCTATCTGCAAAGTTCCCCTTCCGTTTTCGACTTGACTTTGAATCTTGTTCCAACTCTAATTCCCAGCAATTATTTTTATCCGACATTATCGATTTTTTACACAGTGAAAGTCGACATTACGATTATCAATCATAATGCACGTGCAGAATTTCTAGTGTTCAGCGCCATGTCCTGTGTATGATGGGAGGTAACTCAGTAGGAATGCTTCCGCGAACTTGAGAGGACATGTCATGCGTCCAACGAAAGTTTTTCCCGAGAATAGACAGTTGAATATTTCAAATTCTTGATTTACAGATCCTGCTAATGTTTACATTACCTGATATAACCCAATTCAATTTCTGAAGGAAATGATTAGCATCTCGAATCCGATTTGAAGAGAAGAGTGTTCATGCAATGCATCACGCAGTGCTTACCAATCACTATGAGAGGTTTGTTTAACGATTAAATAGTTGCAACGTCACCTTCTCAGTATTCTACTTTCGCTTTCACAGTTGTCTACTTTCACTTTTGTTTTCGCAATTGTGTATATAATATACTAGCGGAAAATAGTAACTGTGCTTCACATAAAGTGTACAAATTACGTTATTGAAAATAACAACTTAATATACTCTGTCAAAAAAGAAACGCAAAAGTAGTAAAATCGTGAATGGTGAGGTGAAGTGAGGAGAGGTGAAATGGGGTTTTACGTCGCGTCCAAGATTATTGCACTTATATAGCGAAATGCATGTGTGTGTGTGGCTGCTTGTACGGACTGATGCCGATTTTAAAGTGCTAGCCCACTGAGATACCATGCCGCAGCTTAACATGAATACCCCTCTCAGACACAACATACTGACTTCGAGCCGACCAGTCCTTGTTTTAGCCCCTTATGCCGAGCGCCAGACAGAGTAACAACAAGTACCATCTTTTAACGTCTCTTCGTAAGACGCGGTTGGGACTTACAGCTCTTCGTGCGGACGCTCTATCACTAGACTACAGAGGCATAGATATCTGCCAGAGTGTTGCCGACATCCATAAAAAACTAACACCAAAAGTGAATTGGTCATTCGGCATGTATTTGGATTGATTTGTGTGGAAAGAATGAGGTACTGCAGACATTTGGTGAGAAGAATCGCACAAACACAACCACTTGAGTGTCTGGCGCCAAAACACACCGATTCCCTAGAAGCACTTACCAAATATGGTTGTATTATTGGCGGGACGTGACATTTGGACGACCGGCCCTTGGCAAGTCATGAGTTTTGCCCTGCTGTTGATAATGTCTTCAAAAAGATGATATTGTGTTTCCCTGAACCTTAAAATATCTGGCAACTTCGTTTTACGCCATTCCTCACGGTTTGCAGGCCCGTGAAGATCCCGGGTAGAATAGGTCTTCAGCAACCCATGCTTGCTGTAAACGGCGACTTATGCTCGTCGTAAAAGGCGACTTACGGGATCGGCTGGGACTCGCTGACTTGGTTTTGATGCATGTCATCGATCCCAATTGCTTGGATAGATGGTCATGTTGTCAATCACTGGATTGTCTGGTCCAGACTCGATTACTTACAGACCGCCGTCATATAGCTGGAATATTGCTGAGTGCGGCGTTAAACAACAAACACGGTTTGCAACATATCCACGGCGCGTTGACGTTGATATTCAGCCAACCGTGGCATTGCCTAAACGCTATTTACAGTTACACAAAAAACGTTTTTATGAGCATCAGATGGCTAAACAACCATTGTGTGCTATTTACATTAAAAAACCACGAGTGTGAGTACCATGCTCCCATCAAACACGCAAACATCCAAATTGTGAGCGCTCATGAACATACACGAGCAAATTGTGAATCACGACCTTCAAGTCGAGATGACTTCATGAATATTTCAGAATATATTTTTATCGAACTTTAATTTACATGTATACATGTTACTTTTTTCCCTTGGTATAAATACACACACCGGGTAGTCTTATACAAATCCCGTGTTTATCGTGGCCATTTGTAATATATTTCAGATCAAGTGAACCTGTTGTTCGAATATCAATCAATAAACATCCTGTCGTGTACGAATTAGAATCATAAGTTCAAGAATGTGCATGTGCGTGATTTTCAAATGGCTTATTTGGGCAAAGTTGGTGACAATAATTTTTTTTCTTTAACATATTTGAGACCTACAAACAATCTTAAATCTTTATTTTTACCCCAAGAGAATATTCAGAGTGAGTTTGGTCAGTCAGCAATAATATGCATCTTTATCGCTGTGATAGACTAGTGGTTTATAGTGTTAGCAATGCTATACACAACAAGGATATGGAGGTAAGCGGATAATACAAACAGGTGAAAGATGGCATGTGAGATCACGAAGTTCAAGTATACAAATACTACAATACATGCGCCATAACCGGCAGTCATTGTGGCCACACAATCAAGATTTTCCCACATTTATAGACATGATCCTGTACTGAGGGTAATCTCTGCCCAACACGTTTGAACGGTCTTACACTGAAGCAGGCATCATACTTATTCCGGTGTCCGGTAAGTTTAGGCCACACAATTTGCGGAGTTGCCTCGCTTCGCCGTTCAGGGATCCGTTGATCGCGGGTACGGATCCCAGATTCGATTTAATTATGATCCTTGGCTTGTCAGCACCATATATTCCAGCACTAAGCTCACCTCATTCACTCAAAAATCGTGGTAATGTCTTATTTGTCAACATGCTACCAACTTGTTTTCACGCGATCCAGAAAGTGCACTCTCTGCTTTAGCACTCACTGTTCCAACTCTGGAATGTTTGTTTGTTTGTTGTTTAACGCCGCACTCAGCAATGTTCCAAACTATATGACGGTGGTCTGTAAATAATAGAGTCTGCCATGGATCAGAAATCTAGTGACTGACAACATGACCCACGCAATTGGAATACCATAATATACATCAACCGAGTCGGCAATCCAGATCATTGGCCCCTATACACGTGTGTACATGTGCAGCCCTGTTGTATAACGTACAAGGGACGATTGGTGGATGATCAGGCCTTATAGGGTTTCAGTTTGCTTACAAGACCGAAAAATGAACAAAATGACTTTTTGCGGACTGTTTTACAATTAGGTGAAATACAAATGAGAGGGTTAAAACACGAGATTTTACCACCGCTGTTCGTAAGAAATGGAGAATAATACGCATGAAAATCTTCATTATAAAAAAATAAAAACAAATCAGTTATCTTTCTATATCGTTTCGCAATCATACTTCCGTGATGGTGTAGTAACCTTCGAGTTTGTTTCATTCATTAGTAGCAATACTATCATGAAGTTGAATTTTTTTTTTCGACCACCCACGTTGAATTTTAGGCTCATCATTTGTAAACCAACAAATAAAAACAAAGGGCCTTATGTCATTCACATTAATTTACAACAATACCATAGACAATAATCGTGCAAGTTCCGAATGAGGTGTTTCGTGACCACTCAAAAGTAGAGACAATTTATGGATAACAACGTTTTGTTTGACAGCTGTATAAGGATCTATACCGAGACGTCGCCTTTACAGTAAATAAAGAAGTTGTTATCCATAAATTGTCTCTACTTTGTCAGGGGGCACGGAGGGCCCAGTCGTCTAAGGCGCCGCGATTTGCTGTGCAGAGTTGCATCCCCTGGGCACGCCAGAAACCTATGATTGTGGGTTCGAATCCCGGTTTGCCCCGATTTTGTTTCTAGGTTTGTTAGCACTATATCCGGTCTGATACCTGCATCATTTCGGGCTTTCCTCCAACATTAAGCTGATACGCCGTGATATAACTGGAATACTGTTTAAAGCGGCGTTAAACCCAACTCACTCACTCTACTTTGTCATCCGTCAACTTCTAAGTAATGCCTATTAACAAGTTGTGACCACTCGTATCATTCCGAGTCAAAGCAGAACGCAGGTTACGGAAAGGGGCGAGTTGTGACGAATGGGTATACGGCCTGATTCGCTTGGAAAAGCCGGAGGTTGAAATATTAGTACAAAGAGACATGCATGAATTATTCATGACATAAATACACTATACGTGCCATTCACATAGATATAAAACAGGCAAAAAATAGATAAGAAGGGTATCACATTTAGGACTTGTTAACAGTTTCTCTTTCACGACCTATATATACAAGCATTAACTGGGTAGAACATGAAATCAGTCACTGAATGAACGCGATATTGTTTAAGACGCAGTCACCAACGTTCCTCTACCATGTCACGACAGCCTATCATAATAAAAAGGCAACGTAAAATACTGGATGATCGAGAATGTCCATCTATCTGACTACAAAATAGGACAAGCGATCTCCCAAAGGTTACGAAATAACTACAACTGTATGGACACTGTAACAGGTATGGGTTGCGCTGTTGTTGGTTCGTTTAATCGGATTTTGGGGAAATGGAGACGGGCCAGCACACTGGACACAAAGACAGGGCGATACATAGCCCACACACTCGTCATAACACGCGTATTTTCGCAATCTCGTTAAAATTAGATCTTAGGTATTGCTACCGCTACCGATGTGAATCCTGAAAATACAAGTTAGGGACAAGTGATACTTGTACAAATACACCCCCCCCCCCCCCCCCCCCCCCCCTTAACTACGGCCTTGGATAACGAAGATCTGATTTTAATTAACTTATTAAATTGATATTTCCGTAACTGCGGGCATGGGTCGCCCAGTCGACTCTCCTACCCAGAGTTACATGCACTTTGAAAAATATAATTACCGATTTGAATATTTTTTTTCAGTTTTCACAACTTGTACTGTAACAATGATACTTAACTGATGTTTCTTAAAAAATATTTACAGGTGGTTTTATGTTGATAGATTACACATCAGGATCAGGAGAGTGGTGAGTAAAATATATTTAGTGGTATTTCATACTGGGCTGATGATCTGGTTGTCGACGTTCCCCCAACATGTACAGCTCTCTGTATTGTCTGATACGCGTCACACGTATTTGGTACATTAATAAGAGTGACTCAAGTAAACTGTTTTATTTGCTTCTAGTTGTTTACAAAATGATTTCTCAATAAACATTCTCTACTATATGATAGTTAGTTTACCACAAATCATATATACGCAAAGACATGACATTCAAACGAATTATTTCGAAATTTGTAAAGAAGAAAATCCTTCTCTAACATATAACAATGAAAAGAAGCTACCGCGTATAAAATATAAGAAGTAAAAACTGAGAGAAGTAATAAATGGAAACTTAATGTAATAAATAGAAGGGGGTTAACTGTTCAAAATGAGTGACCTATCATTAATGCTATAATACCTAATGTGTACATTTATTCTGGCTTATTAAACTGTGAGGGACTAAGTTTGTATTATACCCTGACACTTTATTTAATTGAATACCAAATACCAGATCACTCGTTATCTTTTACTTTATATCACTCTTACATACATCTTTGTTTCCAAATAGATTCTTAATTCTTTTCAAACAAATATTATGGTATTATACTCAGGGATATGTTTATCTTATTTATTTCCTTCAAAATAACTCTTAATTGTGTTGTCTTTAACTGCCCATATCTTACATCTTATCATCTATAATGTGTATTTAATGCATTGAATTCATTTAAATGTTCATCATAGTTTATGTCAAGTGTAATAGCGTATGTACCATAAATGTTTAATTGTCACGTGCTGTTTTTGCTGAGTATTTTAGTCATGATCTGAGATGTATATCAAATTCCTGAAAAGTAATAAACTATTATTATAATTATTATTATTAGTGTTTATTTATTCACATGTTATCATTCGTATTGGGTATTGATAGTTTTCTTTGGGTATTCAATATAGCAAGCTTATCTGGAACTCTGAACTCCGAATTGCGGATTTAAGAAAGGTAAAGACAAAATCATTATTGGGATTCTAAAATGAATAATTCTAAGTAATGCAATCTGTGATTTCGAAAATCACTTTCCGATTGTCATTTATTTCGTCTAATTTTAAAATCGTATTTATAAAAACTAATACTTGCAAAGACAAAGACACTTTTATAACAGGAATAACGAGCCCTCACCTCGCGCCTTCATAGACGCGGATTGAATAAGAGTTATCGTTCTTGTTTGAAGTTGTTCTCGTGTTCAAACGCCAATATGGGATCCTTCGAGAGGGGCACGAGTCTCCATTTGGCTTTGCCGGAATGACACGAGTTACTCGGGGATGTGATAGTGCTTCTAAAAACCCCATCACTATCTCTATTGTATCTGGAAATATACTTGTCTCTCGAACCCCTCTCTGCTATAACTATAACTACCCGTGTCACTATCCCCCCAGCTGTAACTTTCTCGCGAATCTGTCTTATGTGTATACATGCCTGGGTTTCTTTGGCTATCCCATCTATAATTATACGGGTTTCCAAATGTACGTCTCTCCAACTTCTGTCTCCCATCCCTCCCTGCCCATTCTCGCCCACTACTGTAGTAATATGTCCTCTGTGGCAACTCCCAATTACTATCTGGACACCCTCTGCTGCTCGTCCTTTGACCATAACTCTCACTCCGCCCCCTGTGACCGAATCTGTGCCATTCCACCCTTCTTCTGTCTATATCATCAGAATTGTTCCTGTGATACCCATCTGAACTATGAATCGCAGCAGTGTTGTAACCTGTCTTCTCCCTACTTTCCCATTCACCGTCAACCAAAACTCCTTCCTGTCTCATCAGGTTGTCTCTGACCTTGGTGAGGATTTGGCCAAGCAAGTTTTTACCCTGCCACGTCCGCTCGTCCCAAGCCCGGGGGTCATTCTTGTGTAATGCAATTCCCCAGGTAGCATCGTAGGGACTCGCCTCCACCATCAGTCGAGGTGAAGTGGCAAACAGCTTCTTCTTCAGGTTGGGATTTTGGGAAAACTGGAAACATAACAAAAATATCTCATATATAGTTTCGATTTTAAGTAAAAAGTAAGCCATGCTTATTATATTCATTGGTTTACAGAATATTATAACAATTCTGGTTTGTGGGCGAACAAAAATAAGAAGACATATCATATTATAAATTGTAGCATGAGGCGCATGAAACCCCATATACCCCGAGTGCTCCTGCTACAACGAATTTATCTTACTCACATTTAATGTGACATTGTAAAAGAATTAACCAAAATTCAAAATGGATAGAAAACAGATGTTTCGATTGAGCTGGGGTTAACGTGTGCAATGTCACGTGACTTCCATTGACTCTGAAAAAGCGTGCGGCGTTTTGCTTTGAACCGGGGTATAAGGGATTTATTCTGCCTCCCAGAAATCCACGTGCAACCTGTATTGCGCGTGGCGGGGTTTAGAGATTTATTCCCCGGCTGGAAAATGTATTACCCTCCAAGGCGGATTACACAGTATTTAATCAAGATCACGTGGGCCAATCTGATCTCATCATTCTGACATGGAGGTATGAGAATATTTTTTATTATCCTCCGAAATATTATCTTAATATATCACCATGTGCTCCACGTATGTTAAAGGGGACCAGTATCGGGTCATTTGGCAGTCCTAGCAAGCGTTATTCAATTCATAATGACATTCATAATGGCATTCACGATCATTGTGGTCTGTGTTTTGTCACTTTGTAAGTGCGTGAATGTTTAAACAGAAACATTCTGTCGACATCACGTCGGCCTGTAATAACCTATTCTGTACGATGACTACCAGATCACACATTATGACAACCAATACTCAAGTTATTCAGCACAGAGGACAAGCATGGTGTACTTTGACAGGGCTCCAGATAGTGTTTTGAGCCATTGAGTATTTACTGTCTTGTTATCATTCACATTGGGTACTGAAAGTTGTTTTTCTTTGGTATTCAGTATTTGTAGTCCCCTGAGTTCTGTAGGGAAACACAGATATCTTCTCTTAAGTCCATACAGGATGGTAAGTAGGGATGCTATCGTATATCGCCATATATCGATAAATGTTTAATGTCGATACTGTATCGATATATATTTATGAATATTGATAATATATTAAAAATTCATTGCCACAGAAACGGTTACATTTGTTAAGAGCATCATGATTAAGATTGACAAATAGGCAGAAATTCATTCATAAACATTTAAAGAATCGGCCTAGTTCCTATTTGGCTTAACCTCTTAATCTATTACAGGTCTCAATTTGATTTATTTATGTATACACATAAATAATAACTACTTTCGTTATCAATTGCGATATCGATATATATCGTGATACTTTTTGAGTGGTAACATATCGCTCTTACACTTTCCAATCAATGACACCCAAATCAGGCACGTGCACGTGATTAAGTGTGTGAGTATGGTTTTAAGCAACTTTTAGCAATATTCCCTGCAATATCACAGAAGGGGACACCAGCTTCACACACTGTGGGGAATCAAACCAGGGGCTTCGGCGCAGAGAGCAAACGCTTTACCCACTAGGCTATCCCACCGCCCCAAGTGCATCATACCGTCTCCACAGACTGACCTTTGCCATGTTGCCTGTTTCCACAACCTCCATGCTGTACTGCATCCACGTGTCAAAGTTGAAGTTCTGGATCTGCTTGCCCAGACGCTTCTGTTCCTTGGGATCACTGGTATTCATTATCTTCTCTTCAATAGCTTTGTCTTCAAACAGCTCTGAAAAATGAAAACAGTTGTCACCAAAATATAAAAACTTTAATAATTATATATACATATGTGTATATATCTCACGAGTCTTTGAAGCTCACTGGATTGTTTATATGCTGTAAATCTTGAAATTAATGCGTCTCCAAATTAATACGACTGCTGACCCCTAGCCTTGTATTTTCAACTCGTATAATGTGGAACCTAAATCCTTAGATCATAAAAAGGTCAAAACATATATAAAAATCGCATAACAATGTTTTGGAAGAACGTTAACACAGGCAGCAAATGTTTGTTAACAAAACCTGACAACTCACCTGCCTTCCTGTACATGTAGTACTGCTCGGCGCAGTTGAAAACTTTCTTGTCAACTGTGAACGCGACTGGGTGATGTTGACTGAAAGGTGATCGCCAGCCAAAGAAAAGTTCATATTTTTGTGACTGTCTGTCAGCGAAGACGTCAATGTTGTGAAAGTTGCGCTTGTCGGGTGGTCTTGATTGCAAGTAACTTTCCCCTTTGCGACTATCTGGACACCAACTGCTGCTCATCCTTTGACCATAACTCTCACTCCGCTCCCTGTGACTGAAACCTTGCCATTCCGCACTTCTTTTGCCCATATCATCAGAATTATTCCTGTGATACCCATCTGAACTATGAATCGCAGCAGTGTTGTAACCTGTCTTCTCCCTACTTTCCAATTCATCGTCACCCAAAACTCCTTCCTGTCTCATCAGGTTGTCTCTGACCTTGGTGAGGATTTGGCCAAGCAAGTTTTTACCCTGCCACGTCCGCTCGTCCCAAGCCCGGGGGTCATTTTTGTGTAATGCAATTCCCCAGGTAGCATCGTAGGGACTCGCCTCCACCATCAGTCGAGGTGAAGTGGCAAACAGCTTCTTCTTCAGGTTGGGATTTTGGGAAAACTGGAAACATAACAAAAATATCTCATATATAGTTTCGATTTTAAGTAAAAAGTAAGCCATGCTTATTATATTCATTGGTTTACAGAATATTATGACAATTCTGGTTTGTGGGTGAACAAAAATTAGAAGACATGTCATATTATAAATTGTAGCATGAGGCGCATGAAACGCCTTATACCTCGAGTGATCCTGCTTCAACGTATTTATCTTACTCACATTTAATGTGACATTGTTAAAGAATTAACCCAAATAAAAAATTGATAGAAAACAGTTGTTTCGATTGAGCTGAGGTTAACGTGTGCAATGTCACGAGACTTCCATTGACTCTGAAAAAGCGTGCGGCGTTTTGCTCTGAACCGGGGTATAAGGGATCTATTCTGCCTCCCAGAAATCCACGTGGAACCTGTATTGCTCGTGGCGGGGTATGAGATATTTATTCCCCGGCTGGAAAATGTATTACCCTCCAAGGCGGGTTACACAGTATTTTATCAAGATCATGTGGACCAATCAGATCTCATCATTCTGACATGGAGGTATGAGAATATTTTTTATCATCCTCCGAAATATTATCTTAATATATCACCATGTGCTCCACGTGTGTTAAAGGGGACCAGTATCGGGTCATTTGGCAGTCCTAGCAAGCATTATTCAATTCATAATTCATCACGTCGGCCTGTAAGAATCTATTCTGTACGATGACTACCAGATCACACACTGTGACCAACCAATACTCAAGTTATTCAGCACAGAGATCAAGCATGGTGTATTTTTACAGGGCTCCGGATAGCGTTTTGAGCCATTGAGTATTTACTGTCTTGTTATCATTCACATTGGGTACTGAAGGTTTTTCTTCATCTTAGTCATCTTCAGTTTTTCTTTTCTTAATCTATTACAGGTCTCAATTCGATTATTTATGTATACACATAAATAATAACTACTTTCGTTATCAATGGCGATATCGATATATATCGTGATACTTTTTGAGTAGTAACATATCGCTCTTACACTTTCGAACCAATGACACCCCTAAAAGGCACGTGTACGTGATTAAGTGTGTGAGTATGGTTTTAAGCAGCTTTAAGCAATATTCCATGCAACATCATAGAAGGGGACACCAGATTCACACACTGTACCCATGTGGGGCATCAAACCCGGGCCTTCGGCGCAGAGAGCAAACGCTTTACCCACAAGGCTACCTCACCGCCCCAAGTGATCATACCGCCCCCACAGACTGACCTTTGCCATGTTGCCTGTTTCCACAACCTCCATGCTGTGCTGCATCCACGTGTCAAAGTTGAAGTTCTGGATCTGCTTGCCCAGACGCTTCTGTTCCTTGGGATCACTGGAATTCATTATCTTCTCTTCAATAGCTTTGTCTTCAAACAGCTCTGAAAAAAGAAAACAGTTGTCACCAAAACATAAAAACTTTAATAAACATGTATATGTATCTCATGAGACTCTGTAGCTCACTCGAATGTTTATATATTTGCAACTCGTATTTTGTAAAACTTAAATCCTTAGATCATAAAAAGGTCAAAACCTATATATAAATCATAGAACAATGTTTTGGAAAAATGTTAACACAGGCAGCAAATGGTCTGTAAACAAAACCTGTCAACTCACCTGCCTTCCTGTACATGTAATACTGCTCGGCGCAGTTGAAAACTTTATTGTCAACTGTGAACGTGACTTGGTGATGTTGACTGAAAGGTGATCGCCAGCCAAAGAAAAGTTCATATTTGTCTGATTGTCCGTCAACATTGTTAAAGTTGTGCTTGTAGGGATGTCTTGTTGGCAACGAAGGTTCGCCTCTGCGTCGTTTTGATGGATCAACCTCGTCATATTCATTGTTCCTCTTCCGTTTACGACTTGACATTAATTCTGGTTTGTCACCACCGAACATAGTTTCCTCGATAATAGACCGGGATGGATTCTTCAGATGTAAAATACTTTCTGAAGTAGATTGTCAGCGCCAAGAGCTCAGCGCTTACCTTAACAGTTTGCTTCGGTTACAACCGATTGAACGAAACCTTCTCAGTATTCTACTTTCGCTTTTGCTTGATCAATTTCCAAGAAGTCTTTTGTATCGGCACAGCGCCTCCTTTGTCAGGAGGACAATCAATATACCAGACCGACACGACACGATTGTGTTTATAGATCCAATGTAATAAGTGCAGGTATTAGCACCTTTTATTCTAATACCGGATCAATCAATCCGACCGTGTCCGGAAAAGAACCATATTTTCAAGACTGTTCATGTGCGTGTCTTTTCAATGTGAATATATTAAAGAACGCTTTTTGTTATGTATTTCTAGCCTGAGACTAACACTTACTCAAAGAAAGCATTTAAAAAAAAAAAATTGTAATATTTTTTTATCTAGAGTTGCCTGGGTGTTTAGTAAAAAATAATTGAACAAAAATATACATTACACAGTCTTGGCACAGTACTACTCTTGCCTATACCGACCAGGATTTTGACAAAGAAATACGTTAACCAAGAAATAACCAAACAGTCTTGACTTCTCTGTAAAGAATCTCCAGTTGTGGTTGCTTTAGCCCTGCTTGTAGTTCTAATGATTAAAACAATGTGATCTGTTGACCATGATGAGAAGGTAAGCTAATATAGATTGAGCCTTTTTCGTTGAGAAAAATTTGGACCTGTCCGCCACAGGCGGCAGTCATTGTGGTCGTCCGATCTACATCTTTCTTTGTTAGTTTGTTTGTTGTTTAACGCATCACTCGGCAATATTTCAACTATATGTCGGCGGTCTGAATAAAATCGAGTCTGGACCAGACAATCCAGTGATTGACATCATGAGCATCGATCCACGCAATTGGGATACGATGACATGCATCAACCAAGTCAGCGAGCCTGACCACCCCATCCTGTTAATCGCCCCTTACAAGCATAGTCGCCTCTTACGATAAGCATGGGTTGCTGAAGACCTATTCTATCTCGGACCTTCACGGGTCTTTTATAGACATGAATAAGAAACTGGTGGCTATCTCTGCCCAATACGTTGTGATGGGCGTACACTGAAAGCAGGTACCCTCCTTATTTTTTTGGCCCAGAGTTTTAGCCTAAACAGTTGGCTTGTTATGTCGCTTAGCATGCCTGCAACAATTTTTCACGCGATCCAGAGAGCACCATGTGTTTTTGCATTCACCATTCAAAGTCCAGCATGCGCCTGAATAGGCCCCTCTGTTGTATAGTGTACCAGGACGGTTTACGATTCACATTATTCACATTTTTTATCAACGACAATACCATCGCCTGTATGATTGAGGCAAAGGGCCATTCGTGATCACTCGTAGCATTCTGGGACAAAAAAAAAATGCAGGTTACGGAAAGTGACGAATGGGTGTAAGGCCTAATTCACTTGATAAAGCGTTAGGGTGAACCATTAGTACAAAGAGATTACGAGCATTATTCATGACATAAACACACCCTACGTATCAATCCACAAAAATGTAAAACACGCACTCAAGAGATAAGAAGGTTGTCATATTTCTTTTGTTGATAGTTGTCACTGTACATTTGTCAATATATGCCACACACGCAACGAAATATTTCCCTTTCACGACTTATACAAGCATTGGGTTAAACTATAAAAACAGTGACCGAATGAACGCGGTTTTATGCAGAGTTTTTTTTGTTTGTCTGTTGCTTAATGCGACAGTCAGCAACACTCCTGCCATGTCACGACAGCCTGTGAATTACCGAGACGGACCAGACAAACCAGCAATTGATGCATCTATAACATCCAACGCCGTCTGGGGTGTGATGAGGAAGCACGGGTAGCCCAGCCGTCTAAGTCGTCTAAGGCACCACAACTGGCTGAGCAGAGTTGCGTCCATTCGGTACGTCAGAAACCTATTCATGACGCCCCGATTATGGTTCTAGGTTTATCAGCACCATACCCGTGCTCGTGGGTATCATAAAACTTTTCAATATATATTTTACCGTACACCCCTAAAACATGTTCTCTCGACGGTATTAATTCGAGTGAAAGCGAATGGTACTGTGATGATAAAAAACACGACACTGCCAAATCTACCATTTAATGGTAAGTATGAACAAACCAAACAAATGTAAGATCACAACAAAACACAAAAATAGTATAATGCTAAGCAAACGAACCCGACGCGGAGATCGTTGCTCATGCTGTCAAACACCCCAAGGTACACATAGCCCAGACTCGATTTATTGATGTAGGTCCAATATTGATGGCGTTGTCAAACAACATTCACTCCCCCCCCCCCCCCCCGTTCCCCTCCACACATAAACACAATCTCTCGCTACATCATTCCCTTTAAATCTCCGTCCTCAATCCATCTTTCCTTTCTCTCTGTCCACATTTTTCTCTGCGACCTGCGGCCCTTCATCATCATCTGTACCCTTGCCCTTCCCATCTTCTTCTTCTTGCTCATCCTGCTGCTTCTCCAGTCTGTCCCTGACTGCAGTCAAGGCGTGCCCCAGCAGGTTCTTCCCCCGCCACGTCTTGGTGTCCCAAGCTTTGGGGTTATTCCTCCCAAGCCCAATACCCCACAAGCGATCCCTGGGGCTACACTCAACCATCACTTTGGGCGATGTGGCCAACAGTTGCTTCTTCAAGTCCTCATTCTGTGAGAACTGGGAGAAAGAAAACTTGGCCATTAAATACCTTACGACACCAACACGTTGATGTTTCAGGCAGATGTTCTATTTTTAACTATTACAACTTGCAGACGCCCGTGTCAAGTAATATTCACAGATCAGGCAAGTGAGATTTTGGATCTGTGCATTTTGGTAATCCCGTCATAGTAGTACACTTTCACTCATGAGTACACAGAACCCATTCCCACTGGGTGCTTGGACCAGGGGAATTAGTAAATCGGGGAATTCTGAGGTAAGGGAAAGCTCAATTTACACTTGCCCTGCGTGCAGTAAACTTTTTTTGTAGTGCAAAATGTGTCCCCTAGATGTGCCAGAATCCAACGATCGTTAGTTCGAATCCTGATCGCACTGATACTGAATCATGGTTCGTCAGTACCATACCGAACTATGGGTTTCATCCCCACCCCAATGGTTCATATATATCAAATATTAATTCATTTGTACCTTACCTTGGCCGTGTTAGCACGTTCAACAATCTGTATACATTTTTTTTCCCATACTGTCTTATCGAAATTCCGGACTTTCCGACCAAAGCGCTTCTGTTCCTGTGGATTTTTGGTTGCCATGATTTTCTTTTTAAACTCCTTGTCCTTAAATAACACTGAAAGTAGAAACATCGAGGTACTGAAGAAGAAAGGATGGGTGATGCGGAGGAATATTTTTTGCATGTCACAAAGTTGTCATATTGGTGGTTTGTCGCATGCTATTCAAACTACTAATAAAACTATGCGATGCCCACATACCGTATTTCCTTTATCAGACGCCCGGGTATATATTATTTTCGCGCAAGCCGTTGACCCGGCATCTATTCTGTTGAATGCTGGCTGAGTGGCAACTCACCTTACCGAATCCTAAATGTTACAGTCATACAAAGGGTACATTTGTAGGAAACAGTCATTATATTAAGTAAGGGAATATTTATTACATGCCGTAAGTTAATGTGACAGGGATCATTAATTCCAATGATGGATCCTGCCAGAGCGGGTCAGAGCGTATGGCCCGGCGTCAATTACAGACCGGCTTGTAGTGCATATATCTCGGCGTCTAATAGAAGAAATACGGTAAATCAATATTAACACTCACCAGCCTTCTGATACATCATGTATTGTTCAGCACAGTTGAATGTTACGCCATCTATCGTGAATGTGGCTGGGTGGTGTTGACTAAAGGGCGACGTATTGCCGTAGAAAAACTCGAACTTGTCTTTCCCCTTGATGTGTTGGTGCGATTTTGAAAGATCGCTCTTAGTGAGAGTGTCTCTGGTTTTGTTTTCACGTTTTCTCTTCTCGGGGACTGGTGGTACATCGCCGCTTTTTCGCTTGAGATTCGTCCTTACTTCAGATGGTTTGACTGACTTGGTGTCTGACATGTTGGTAACTGCTTTTATGTCTTTTATCTGTTCGTACTGGTAATGTTCAGTTCAGGTGGTCAATTTCTGTTTCGGCAAACTTACGACACTTCCGCGTTCCGAAGGGAGGTAACTCTGATTTTTTTTTTGTAGGCATGTTTGATAACCAAGCATACTTGGGCCGAAGCTATATAGCAGGAGTGTATAGTATGAGGTCTGGTGTGTGTGTGTGTGTGTGTGTGTGTGTGATGAGATTGGTATTGGGACTACCATATTCTGCCGATCCTATATTCATCATTTATGTTACATTTTCATAAGGCTGGAATACCTTAAGATACACATGGCCTAAATACACTAGACTTAAGCCCCATTCACATGGACACTTTTACTTACGTGAGTATATATACTTACATAAGTAAATTTACTTATGGTGGTATGTGAACGTATTTGCTTACGTGAGTAAATATACTCCAGGAGTAAAGAGACATGGGTGAAAGTATATTTGCTACACCTGATGAGGTCTAGTAAAAGTATATTTACTCATAAGTATATATGCTCCTGGAGTATTTCTGGTCATGTGAACAGATTCTCTATTTGCTTACGTAAGCATATTAAATCCAAGATACTGATAATCAGGAAAATACGGCTGTAGTTCCTTGCAAAGAACATAACATGTTCATAAAATGTTTCGCGTGTCATGCGAAAGTTATCGATTCACAGTTTATCATCAAATGATCGTATGACGACATTGTTCCACCAGTGTTGAGAACGTTCTCTCTTCCACAGTTCTCTTTCCTGGCATAATCCTAAGACTAATCCCATACTAAGAAAGTATGGAAAGTCTCTCTTTCGCCTCTGGTTGACTATCTTCCACAGCGATCGACATGGCCTCAACTGATAAAAGTCCACAATTTATTTATGAAATGATGTTTACTTCTACCTTGCATAAACTTCATGTGAACGCATTGTAAATATACTTTTGCTTACATGAGTAAATATATTCCATGAGTAAATTTGCTTACATGAGTAAATTTTGTCCATGTGAATGGGGTTTAATTAAGACCTAGTCTCTGAAATATATATATTTTTTTAACAGAGCACCTCCAAATAATTATCTTGATAGATTATCATAAAAAGGAGACAGTCATCTAGACTTGCTAACAATTATAGACCTACATGGGGTGTATTGGATATATTTGTTTCAGGGTGTGTATGACAGACTACCTAAATACATTACAATGAATTCCCTTTCCTGCAAGTCCGTAACGTCAGCAGCTGTTCGATACTACCCTCGATTTTACAGTGTGTTCTGTTTGCATTCAAGAATGCTTAATACCCTTCACCCGTTCGCTCCCCCAGTTTCGCGTTGAGTCAGTGTAGACACTGAAATAGCCGTCCATGCATGTGCGAGAGCAATTCTCAGAAACTCCGGAGTGATGCAGGTGACAGACGTTAAGCACGAGCACGGGTATAGTGCTGACACATAATCGGGACGAACAGGGATTCGAACCCACAAACATGTTTCTGGCGTGCCCAAGGGACGCAACTCAGCACAGCGAATTCCTGGCGCCTTAGACGACTGGGACACCCGTACCACAAGATATATGGAATCGGCGACGAAATACGCGCTACGCTACTGGTGAAAATATCAACCTTTTCAGATCAATCGATGAGCTAACCTTGTTTCTTGTCACAAAAATTCAATGCCCTCTATATATCTGGGCTACGGAGAATTCTAACAACCGTCGTCACCAAAGTCTACATTGAAAGTAACTGTCTTAATTTGGTGTAATTGGAATGATCTAACTATATTCCACACATCTCTGCTGTGAAAATAGGTGTAGTTAACATGATTTATATAATCATAAAACGATCCCCGAGCCTCATTTCCCAAAGAGTAGTTTGTCGCAGGTTGTAACAATAGAAATTTCATATCGAAGGCACAAGGTGCGACTGCTCTGTATGGACGTGTAACAGGTGTTACGTTACAAAGGAAATACGCAACACTATTCAAGAAGCAAACACTTTATTATCGTTAAATACATGTTATGGCAGGTGACGTCACAATCCACCTTGGTCGTTTGCGCCTAGGTTGTTTTATCTAAGTACATTGATGCGTTGCAGGAACACTTCTATACATAATTTAAATCCTGTAACTTTTACTTTACTGGTTCAACTGATTGCTTTACCTTTACCAAATTCTGTGTATAGATTGTCCGTCAAGGGACACATTAGAATTTTGTTTGTTCTACCAATAAAAAAGAGTCCCATAAAACCCTTTGAAGAGATTGGCACTAGAGTCGCTTTATGTCATCAGAATAAATGATTACATGTCAAATTAATACACACAAAAGGCATCTTCCCTGACAAAAAATATTTTGTGGCACAAATTCTCGAACTCGTCTTGATAAGTTTCTCTTAGATAAGCGAACTTACGTACTTTCTGAGAAAGCTTGTCCCCGATGCAGACACTATGCACTTTGTCAAATAAAATGGTACAAGGGCCGTAACAGTGTATGCTCAAAATCTAAAAATAAGTAGCAGGGGAAGTAATTCTGAAAAGAAACAAGAGTTTGCCACTAACGTGGCTATACCCCCCGCCCCTGTTGCAGAATTTATGACATAATTAAATCTAAACAAACCATAACCTTTTTTAACCGAGGTGGAACTTGTCATGAAAATTGTAAAAAATAAGTCCATCTTGTTGCCATGGAAACGTAAAAAATAAATATTTCTAAAATTTCTCAATAGCAAAAGGCACCAGTTCAGCATGTACCTGACAGACCTGCAAAGTTTAATGAAGAAATATTGAAAGGTTTATGAGTTATGCTCCGGAAACGAACCCTACCCTCACAGAACCTAAGTCCATCTGGTTGCAATGGAAACGTAAAAAATAAAATTTTCTAAAATTTCTCAATAGCAAAAGGCACCAGTTCAGCATGTACCTGACAGACCTGCAAAGTTTGATGAAAAAATAGTGAACGGTTTATGAGTTATGCTCCGGAAGCGAAACGTGACGGACGGAGCCTGTTTCTATATCCTATAACTTCGTTGGGCGGGGGATAATAATTTACACGACCAATTTTCGACCACAGTCTTGACAAGTATCTCTAGGATAAGCATGCACAGTTTCATTTATGTAACGTCAGTAGTTTTTGAGAAAAGTTGTCCCCATTGCAGATACTATGCAGAAAGTTGAAAAGCATGGAGCAAGGGCAATAACTCTGTAAAAAAATAGTTTACGGCTCCAATTTTAGAACTCAATCTTGACAAGTATCTCTTATAAGCATGCAGACTTTCATTCGTGTTTTACAATATTTGCCATTCATGTGTGTTACCCCTCTTCCACTGATCTCACTTGCTCTTCACCTTTTAGGGATTCATTTATATTATTTGGTTTACGCATCCCCAAAGAACAACAATGTGTAAACACAATCCGGCTTAAAACCAGTTTACAATTGTTTCCCTGTCTGACTGCATGAAACCGCGATAAGTACCCACGACGGACACCACTCACAGCTTCACCGGTACTACAAGTAGTGTGTGGCTTTGTTCTCACGTAAACGCTATTAAGTTTCAATATTCCTGTAACATTTCAGACCACCAACCCAATTATCAGAAAATAAACGACTACTAATTTGAAACACTGCCCTATTCAATTACATCTAGCTCTTTTCCTGTTCCATAATCATGTCCCTCACTTTAGTCATTATATAGCCAAGTTGGTTCTTCCCTCTCCAGTTCTTCTGGTCCCAGGCCAGAGGGTCGTCCCTGGCAAGTCCAATGCCCCATACGAGGTCTGATGGGCTTGCCTCAACCATCAATTTCGGGTGTGTTTTCAACAGCTTTCGTTTCAAATCAGGATTCTGAGAAAACTGAAAACAAGGGAAACGTAGATAAAATATATTCTCAAACTTGTTTAACATTTCTATTCCTTTAAACCCACTTTCTCCCAAATTGAATAATAATTGAAGTGTTACAATTGATTTAATACCCAGCACACTCGAAATAGAGCCATTAGAGTCTTAACTCACTCGACTTAAATGTCAACATGCCGAGGGTTTTCACCTAAGTGAAAATCTCTATGAGCTTCACAACCTTGGACTTTCTTTCAACATGAAGCCGACATGCCGTGATATAAGTGGGAAAAAGACTGTTCAATGCGACGTTAAACAAAACTCAATCATTCACTCATTCTCACCTTGGCCAGGTTGGCGCGTTCAACAACGCGTTGACAGCACTGTTTCCACACTTTTATGTCAAAATTGACGATCTGCCTGCCAAGGCGCTTCTGTTCCGCGGGATTATACGTTGCCATTACTGCCTCCTCAATTTTCTTGTCCTCGAATGTAACTGAACAATTCAAAATAAAAACAATTAAAAAAGGGACAAAATAATTATTAAGATAACAATGAAGAAAATATATTGAAATATTTAAATGTGAGATAAATCATTGAAATAGAGTGTGTCTGATATAAACATGCAATTTAAATGGTTTAACACAAAGGTTCTTAACTTCGGTATTTTCTTACAGATCTTCACGATCATATACTCTTGTGTACCAAAGTGGACATTTTCAGTGGTTGTTCGAAGTTTTGTGAGGTCACTCGATGAGATAAGCATCTTATTTGGCAAGAAATAGTATACCCTCTTCAGTTATCTCGATCCGTGAATGAGAAACATGGCATCATAGTATTGATAACCACTTTCAGACCCTAAGTGGGTGGGATCAGAAGTGTAACCTTTCTTCAGTTGTGAAATTACAAACAAGGCCACGACATAGCGAGTGAGTCAGTTTGGTTTTACGCCGCTTTCAGCAATATTCCAGCAACAACACGGCAGAGGACACCAGAAATGGACTTCACACATTTTACCCATGTGAGGAACGAACCCCGGGTCTTCCGCATGAAGGACGAACGCCTTTGCTACTACTGGCATTGGGCTTTCCTACGGCCCTAATAAATAAATGGCTTTAGGGTAACTATAGGACGAAGCGATCTAATAATATTTTTCACGAAATCAAGGTCCCATCCAATACTGAAGTTCGAAAATACATATTATCACAAATGCTCACCACCTCACCCGCTCACTCACTGAATCACCACATCCACACGCATGCCCCTCCCACCCAATCACACAATCACTATGCAACCTCACTCAGTGCAGTGTTCAAGTACTGACTCACCGGCCTTCTGATACATCATGTACTGTTCAGCGCAGTTGAATGTTCTACCGTCTATCGTGAATGTGGCTGGGTGATGGTGGCTGAATGGAGACTTGTAGCCGTAAAATAAATACAACTTGTCCTCCCCAGATAGTCCTTCATGTTTATAGCCTCTATACCCTGAGGTTAGCTGGGCGTCGTTTGTTGACTGGTTGCCGTATGTTGCCTTAAGATCAGTTGGTGTACTGTCACATATCACCCTTGCACCCGTGCCACCCCTCGGATCACTGTCTCGTTTTCCCGTTGGATCCATTTGTTCATTTTCACATTTCTTATTATTCTGATCCGGTTTTTCGTTTAACCATTTTCGCTTAGGACGGGCTTCACCATTCTTCACTTCCTCTTCTCCCACGCCCCCTTCTCTCTGTCTCTCTTCCACCGCTGTCCCCTCTTCCTCTATACGAATCTTCTTCTTTTTCTTTTTCTTCTTCCCTGTTTTCACCTCGGGATCCTTCTGGTCCGCTTTTGCTTCTCCCTCTTTCTCGGGTGCCACGTGTTTCTTCGCTCTGCCGCCATGTTTCCTCTCATGCGCCATCAGTTTTTCCCGGAGACGAGTCATGGCACATCCCAGCACATTGGCTCCCTTCCAAGTGTTTTTGTCCAAGGCTCTGACGTCGTCTCTGGCAAGCCCAATACCCCACGTCTTACTCCCAGGGGAGGCCTCAACCAAGAGTTTAGGGTGCGTGGCAAGCAGGGTATCATGTAACTCAGGATTCTGATCAAACTGTAAGAAAAACCCATAAAATATCCTTAAGTGAGATATTTCAGGTACGTAAGGGTGTGTCAGCGTAATGTGCGAGGTATTTCGGCACCTATGACGACTCGGAAGATTAGAAGATATACATTATGGGTTTTCAGATATGAGGGCGTTATTAGATATTTGATGCCGGGAAAGTACGAGGTAGGACGGGCTTACTGGGCGTACCCTTTTAGGCGTACTGAAAATGTCAAATCTTAAAGTTATAGAGAGTTTCGAAATATATGAACATGAGCAGAAATTCAAATGGTTGACTGAAGGAATTAAACCTTGCAGGACCTTGAAAGAAATTTGCATTTACGTAGAGATAGAATTTGCGTAATTCAAGGAAAAGGCTAAATATGATCATTCCCATGACCCCAGATCAATTGTTTAGTTTATGTGTTTTTAAATATTTTTACATTTCCTTTTTCTTCATCAGTTTGGTCATAAATCGAAAACAAGCAAATCTCATTCTCATTCAAATATACTAACAGCTTGTTAAGTTCTAAAAGTATGCCGAAATATGGGCCCAATAGGGGTGTTGGCATTGTAATTTAATGTTTCAGTTTTTAAAAAAAACATGAGCTAAACCATTAGCTGCTATATTCGTGAACCGATACATAAACCCTTAAAGTTCATGCAGTGTCATAGCTTTGCTCCCCATCTAACACATTTAATCTGAATATAAAATAAATTAAAGTATGTTTACATAGTCCCCAAAATATGCCGTGTTTATTGTTAACAATATAAGTGCGTGTTGCGTAGTATCCCACCTTGGCTTCTATGGCACTAATCAGGACGTCTTTCATGCTGTCCTGCCAAGCCTGCTTGTTGAAGTCCCGTATACATCGCCCACATTCTTTTTGTTTCTCGTGGTCCTTGGCGGACAGAATCTTTTCAGCACATGCCTTATCCTCAGATACAACTGAAATTTTGAAAATACATTGTTTGTTTGTTGCCTAACGCCGCACTCAGCAATATTCCAGCCATATATCGACAGTCCAGTGATTGACATCATGAACATCGATCTAATTGAGATACGCTGACATGCATCAACCAAGTCAGCGACCCTGACCACCCGATCCTGTTAATCGCCTCTTACGACAAGCATGGGTTGTTAAACACTAACCTGGACTAACTCACTACGTAAAAAATGCTTTAAGCTCTCAGAAGAGATCCAAACTGAGTAGAGCGAGTAATAAGAAGGAACCACTTTGGTTGAAACCCACGAGCACGTGTCTGGTCCTGACAAACAGGGTTGTCTCATTGGCTTGTTTGTTTAGCGCCACGCTCAGTACAATTCCAGCTACATTATGGGGGCCTGTAAATAATCTAGTCTGGACCTTGGTATGTTGCTGATAATACCAATCATCAGTCAGCAACGCCCCAAGGGGTACGATTACACGCAGTCAACCATGTCACCGAGCCTGAGCACCCCGAATCATTTAGTCCCCTTTTGCAGGGTTGCTCTAACGCGGAATTTCCATGGGAAGAACATATAGACAAAACTACACTATCACCTCAGGAATGGATTGAGGTGGTGTGAACTGGGGGTTGACTAGTCCGGTCGAATGCCTGTAATATTGTGCGAGGCCACTGACAGACCATTAGTTTAACATGAAAACCCACTCAGAAATAATATATTGAACCCATCAATCCTTATTTTATCTCCTTAATGCCCTGACCGCCTCCGTGGTCTAGTGGTAGAGCGTTCGATCCCGGCCGTATCATACTGAAAGACGTTAAAAGATTGTACTTGTTGTTACCCTGTCTGGCGCCCGGCATTAAGGGATAAAAACAAGGACTGGTCGGCTCGGGTGAGCATACTGTGTCTGAGTGGGGTATTCATGTTAAACTGCGGCATGGTATCTCAGTGGGCTAGCACTGTAAATCAGCATCAGTCCGGACTTGTACAAGCAGCCACACACACACACACACACACACACACACACACACACACACACACACACTCTTAAGGCAGGGTAACTTGTACCATCTTTTAACGTCTTTTTGTATGAAATATAATTTCAGATTTGAATTTTACAAATATATTCTTTTTTTTAGAATTATCTCTTATGCTGATCTTTTCAAAGAGCAATTATTAACTTTGCCACGAATACCGGCAAAAATGCAATGCTACATATTTGAGCCGCTCTGTAATTTATTATTTTATTTCAACGCTTTTTGAATGGATATAAGATTGTTTATCGCAAGTGAAGGAATATGTTTGTCTTGGCAGATGTCAATATATTCATGTCAATGTTACATTTATATTGAGACTGGTATTAGTTGGCAACATTATATCTTTCCATGTAAAATGTCTCCATCTCAATTCTGTCATTTCTACTTGTAAGGAGGAATTCGTGTACTAACTATTGAACTTACAACACAGTTAGACCGTGTTGTGGTCCAAGCGCGCCCAAACAACAATAAATACTACTACTACTACTACGACTACTACGTCACATAATTCCAAAATAGTTGCCCCTTCGCACCCGTTTCATAGAAGACCCCGCAATCGAAACTATTTTCAAACTAGCTGACCCCGACCAGACAACGCGCACACTTTCGTACCGTTTCATACAAGTTGTTACCAGTGCACGCTATAAAAAGACGAACATGCAATCAGTTTCACGGAGGCTATACCTAACACTATATGACACGTTAGCAATATAAATAGATGACATGCCACGACGTGAAATGCACACGAAGGACAATGAGTTGTTTTGCCATGTGGCATAAAAAATTCTACTTTCGATTTCGAAATGTGTGACGTGTATCTTTAAGCGTTCACGTGCCTTTCAACCAACATATCTCATGGTGACATCTATATGTTACTGCATACACGTATTGTTATTATACGTGTCTTTCGGGGCTCTCGGCAATATTGGCAAGGATAGCGTTATCCAACAACCTGAATAGAGGTGTATAGTTCACGCCTATATTTATAACAGTCTTAACTCACCGGCCTGTTGGTAGGTGATGTAGTGTTCAACGGAGAGGAACTGCCTGTCATCTATGGTGAAAGTCGCTGGATATTGAAGGCTAAAAGGCGAATCGTTGCTTGAGAAAAACTCAAACTCGACTTCCTCCGCCATGATCATAAATGTATGTCAACTAGTTGCGCAATTTCCACTAATTCTACTTTCACTATTATGTTTCTCCTTAACGGGACCCCTCATATCTATGGCAGGTGCTGTGCCACGTGACCCATCTTGGCCACGCCCCATGACATGGCGACCACGGTTCTAGGTACCTGATACTTTCGGTTCAGGGGAATTCCCAGAAACTTACCACGTTCACAAATTCACTATGTTTTATTCATATGATTTTTTACTCACATAATGCTATCTCATGAAACAGATTGATTATATGTCTACATTTTTTTAATTGGAACTAATCTGTTTTGTCATGTAGTTTTTAATGTTGGTGAACAGGTATTGTCCGGTTTGGAAATACCCGGAAAAGGCAAGCTCTTCACAGCGATAGCCGCTGGCGGAGCTTACTGGGGAACTGTCTAAGGGAGGCAACTATATTTTGCAACCATGTTCCTAAGTGCTTTTAAGCTTTATGTTGCGTTGGTTGATAACTTGTTACTATGTAATCCTTTTTGGGGCAATATATAGGAATAACCATATGATTTTTTACTCACATAATGCTATCTCATGGAAACAGATTGATTATATGTCTACATTTTTTTAATTGGAACTAATCTGTTTTGTAATGTAGTTTTTAATGTTGGTGAACAGGTATTGTCCGGTTTGGAAATACCCGGAAAAGGCAAGCTCTTCACAGCGATAGCCGCTGGCGGAGCTTACTGGGGAACTGTCTAAGGGAGGCAACTATATTTTGCAACCATGTTCCTAAGTGCTTTTAAGCTTTATGTTGCGTTGGTTGATAACTTGTTACTATGTAATCCTTTTTGGGGCAATATATAGGAATAACCATTTGTCCTGTAGATCACCTGAATATGGGTAAAAATACAATTGATGGGGAAAATATACTGTCAATGTTGGAACTCTCTCCATGGTAAATGTTTACCTATTACATCACCACAGACCCGTGAAGATCCGGGGTAGAGTAGGTCTTCAGCAACCCATGCTTGCCATAAAAGGCGCCTAAGCCTGTCGTAAGAGGTGACTAACAGGATCGGGTGGTCAGGCTCGTATCCCAACTGCGTGGATCGATGCTCATGATGTCACTCACTGTATTCTCTGGTCTAGACTCGATTGTTTACAGACCGCCGTCATATAGCTGGAATATTGCTGAGTGTGGCGTTAATCAACAAACAAACAAACAAACAAAACATCCCCACACATGAGACAAAATGATGATACAGGGCATCAAAACTAGCCGCATCCAGGCATCAGTGTAGTAATGCCTGGAACACAGGAATCATATCGAAACGTTTTGGGATTACCCTCTACTCAGCAGAATGTTAGTAGCACACAGTCATATCAGCCGGCAGAAGTAATACGGGTCTTGTTGTTCTACCGTCTGTGAAATGACCGTTTCTTAGTTGACCCAGAGACAATATATGGTCTCTGGTTGACTCTATCGCACCGGCAAAATGCCTCAAATTATTGATAGTTATATGGCAATTCATTTTACAGGCATGGACACATATAAGTCCTTATTGCCAGTTGATGAAGTTTGAAAGACGGTATTTTTTACGATCGCGGTTTCAGTTTCCTGACAGAGCAATCTTTGTGATATTCGAGATCTGATGAACAGCCTGGTTATGACTTGGGGTCAGCCTCACAACAGGTAAACACGCAATCTCATGAAAATGTTTCGCTGTTCACAACAGGTAAACACGCAATCTCATGAAAATGTTTCGCTGTTCGCCCACTCATACATCTCATATCTATCTCATACCCTACCCTTTATTTTATGATTTTTAGTACTGAATACAAAAACTGACACATTGCTAGTTACAATTCTGTAACTTCATAGCAACAAAAAAGGCAGATTGAATTTTACACAAATAGTGAGGTGAGGTGAAAGTTTAACGTCGCGTCCGAGATTATTGCATGCACGTGTGTGTGTGTGTGTGTGTGTGTGTACTAGTCCGGACTGATGCCCACTGAGATACTATGCCGCAGTTTAACATGAATACCCCACTCAGACACAGTATGCTGACTCCGAGCCGACCAGTCCTTGTTTTAGCCCCTTAATGCCGATCGCAGGGTAACAACAAGTACCATATTTTAACGTCTTTTGGTATGACGCGGCCGGGGATCGAATCCCGGACCTTCCGCTCTCCGGCCGGACGCTCTACATCTAGACCACAACGGCGGTAACAAATATAGTACTTTCATCACAGGTGAAATAAATAAATGGTGATTAATAAATGTTAGGTAAGGTATAAAAAGAAGACTCTGTCGTTTATAACAGTATGCTTTACAAGAAAACTACTTGCGAATACTAGATATATTTTCGAAGTATCATGTGGTCTCCTGGCGGTCAAGGCTGAGTGGATATTCTCTGAATAACTGTTGAGCTTCCCTTCCTTGCAAATGCCAGGGCCCCTGTTCACAAAGCAATCGTAGCGTTCCGACCACCGTAGCTCCAACTGTATAACACAGATTTACGACAGCCGTAGAGCTATGGTCGCTTCGTGAAATAGGGCCCTGTCTCTTAAAGAAAGTGACGACGAAACCATGATGTATTACTACTTTACAATTATTTTGTGTTGTTTAATTTATTTACAAGAACAGAATTACTTCATTTTCCGTACAACAACAATATTAAGTTAAAATAAACATATTGTTCTTAAATTGTTAGATTCTCCCTGAATTGGAATGCTGTGTTCAATCATTTGTGTGGCTGAGTAAATCAAAATGAAAATTGCTGAATCTTGATGAGGATATTCCGGTACATGTTGTTTATAAGAACCCGGTTATCTTTTGTAAGCATTTAATTGCTATCTCAATATACTGTCTATATCAATTTCAGTGAATACCATAAAACTTTATATACGAGTATAACATATTGTTTAGAACGATAATATTTTATTGTCCCGGGACAAGCAATAACTGCAGACAACGTCAGTCACCCCCAGCCACATTCTCTTTCTCGATCCACAGGGGCAAAGGCAGTATTTACCACCTCCCCTACACTGTTCCTGTTCCATCACGTCCCTGTCACCAGCAAATGTGCTATCAGCATCTTCGTTTTCTCTCGCTTCCACCCAGTGTGACCTCTTCCTCCTCACTGTCCCAATTCTCCCTCACATCCTGTTCTTCATGTGGTTTGCTTTCATCTTCTTCAACATCCGCATCAGTGAATTGTTTGATAGGCATTACTTTGAAGTTGACGGATGACAGGATAGACACAATTTTATGGATAACATCTTCTTTAATACTGTAATACTGATCATAGGAAAAGCCTCCCACATCATCATCCGCCTCCTCAAACAGCAAGCCAATATTGACACCCACCTCACCAATTCCACCTCTCTCAATACCCTGCTAAGAACCAACCTCAGGAACACAACCGAACCCCAAGGGCCTAAACGTTTCGTTTACAAAATTGACTGCAACTGTGGACAATCTTACGTGGGAGAAACATCCCGCCCCATCAACACCAGAATCAAAGAGCGCAAAACCTCAACCATTATATCAGCCATCTCGGGCCATATCATCAACTGTCCTAATCACAACATCAACTGGGACAGCGTCCAAATCCTCTCCAACAACCTCTATGATTTCACTAAAAGAAAACTGACAGAAGCAGACCACATTCGCTGCCACAAGCCATCAATCAACAGAGATCAAGGCTATTTCATCCCATCCGCCTACTATGAACTCATCAAGCAACAATCACTTATCCTGTTTAATTGGCATCATGTCCCATTGGCTTCCACCTATGTGTTCTCTGTCCATCGTGTTGTGACAGTATTATCTTCCTGTTGTCAACACTTACTCATGTTATCCCACTCATGTATGATTGATTGTTGTTACTGGTATTCCTCTACCTTATCCCCATCAGTTCTTCGTATTTCCACATTTACTACTATATTCGTGTTTCCCTGTCTTGCTGAGTTCCTTCTCCGCCCACCGCAGTTTCCCCCACGGCCCCGTCTCCTTCAATCAGAATCTTCTCATCCATAAGTCTGTCCCTCACAGCAGTCAAAGTGTAGCCTAATACGTTCCACCCTCTCCACTTATTTGTGTCCCATGCTTCTGATTCCCTCTTTGCAAATCCTAGACCATAGCCAGTACTCCAGAAGACGTCCTTATAATTACACTCAGCTAACAGTTTTGGGGACGTGGCGAACAGTTGCTCCTTCAGGTCGGAATTCTGAGAAAACTGGAGAAAAGAAAACTGTGAGCTACAAACTGTACAATACAAAAATAAGATGACCAAACATATGACGCACTGTGTTCATCTTGGTATGTTTCATAAAGCAATAACTGTGTTTCATTCTAAATCAGTTATATTTTTACAATACATTATTCCTATATGGCTTTTCACAATACAATATTCCTATAGGTATGTAAGTGTATGTCGTGACCCCGGAAATGAATGAGACCCTGCTTATTGTTTATGTTAGATTGATATTATGGACAACATGCCGTTTCAAAGATACAATTATCTTTTTTTACTAACCTTTTCGATGATGGCGCGTTCAACTTGTACGCGTTTCTGTTTCCATACGTCCCACCGGAAGTTGCGGATTTTTCTGCTATAGCGCTCCTGTTTTTTTGGGTCACTTGTGGACATGATTTTCTCCTGGCATTCCTGGTCTTCAAATATCACTGGAAATACAGGCACAGTACATACAGGTACTTTCATATTACTTGGTAACGTTATATTCAAATCCGCTCTTCAAACCATAGTCTGTCTTACAGACGACCCTGATACAAATATACATCAAATACAGCCCATGCAAGTCTATACTGTTTGGCAAGTCCAGATTACTGCAGTATCAAAAATGAAGAGAGTCACTGGACTCCCTTTTATTATATCTTTATTAAGATAACTGAACAACTGTTTTTTCTGAACGATATGTTCATTTCAGAGACTAGATGTTAGTCTATTCAAACCAGGAAACATTCATTTCCGGACTGATGATGTCACTTCTTGTCCACTTTTGGAAAAGACCAATCCTTCCTCGTGTAACTCATACAACAACCACATATATTCAATGATCAAATTACGTTAAGCTATTAATTTAATAAACCAGACATTCTGACATAGCATGTAAGCATGACTGAATATTTAGCAGAATACACATTGCTGTTTCCCGACAGCTGCCATAATGGGTATTTTGAATGCATCGAATTGAAAACTTTACACATGTTATATATCTCTGAAAATGTCAAACCACTCGGTCATATGCAGATACGAAGTGTTTTGCAAAAGACCTGTCATTTTAGTTTTGAAAGATACGTCAAATACCCCTAAAACTTCATTTTACTTGAAAATATACTTTCATATCAGTCCATCATGTTATAAAGCGTCGGTATCTGTTCCATCAGTATTATATCTCTTCAACCCTGGGTAACATTCAACCACTCACCGGCCATCTGGTACAGTGTGAAGTGTTCAGCACTGGTGAAGGTTTGGCCATCGATCGTGAAACTGGCAGGATAATGTTGGCTAAATGGAGACTTGATGCCACAGAAAAATTCATAATTTTCTCTCCCTTCGTCCCCTGTCCAATCGTCTTCTCCCTCCACTGGGACAGACCCATTATTTCCACCCTCTCCCACACTGTTCCTTGCTATCTGATGCTGTTCCATTACGTTCCTGTCACGACCCGATATGCTATCAGCATGACCTGGCGTGACCTCTTCCTCCTTTTTTAGTTCTTCTCCAATCCTCTTCTGCAGTTTCTGTTGTTCCACCACGTTTCCCTCGCCCTCCTCTGTACTGTCAAGCCCAACTACACATTCTTCCTCTGTTCCATCATCTTCTTCTTCTACTGGGACAGACCCATTATTTCCTTCCTCTCCCATACTGTTCCTTGCTCTCTGATGCTGTTCCATCACGTTCCTGTCACCAGCCAATTTGATATCAGCATCTTCGTTCCCTCTCATCTCGCTTCCTCCCACTGTGACCTCTTCCTCCTCACTGTCCCAATACACCCTTACATCCTGTTCTCTGTGTGGTCTTCTTTCATCTTTATCAAAATCCGCATCACTTCTTCGTATTTCCACATTTGCTTCTTTACTATCATTCTTTTCTGTCATTACATCTTGGTGGATATCCCCATCTTCTCCTCCCACTGCAGCTTCTTTCCACGTCCTGCCTTCTTCCTCCACAAGAATCTTCCTATCAAGACAAACATTTTAATTACGACACAATCAGCATTTTTTGCGCGTTGTCATGGCAGCCTGTGTATAGTGATACCAAGGGCAGGCAATCCAGAGGTTGACAGTGCGAGCTGCGATCCATGTCGTCAGGACACAATGATGCCGATGATTGTGACCGTCCGATCTTCATTATTTATTTGTTTCTCATATTGCCCGGAATCCCCAGGGTGTCATAACGTTCTTTTGAAACAGAATCAGGGATGTCCTGTCGTCTAAGGCCCCATAAGTCGTCCTGTGTCCCTCATGCATGCCAGAAACATACGATCGTGGGTTGCAATTCCAGTTAGCCTGACCATGTTTCTAGGTTTGACAAGCACCATACCCGTGTTCGTGTGTTTCACCAATGTGGTTAAACGTCTGAGACCTACATCACATCAGTTTTTCTCCAACATCAAGCTGACACGCCGTGATATAACTGCAATATTATTCTAAGCGGCGATTAACCAAACTCACTCTTTTGTAACAATCATATAATCTACAAATTTTCTCCTTTGTGCTGACCGCCTCCGTGGTCTAGTGGTTAAGCGTCTGCACGGAGATGTGAAGATCGGAGTTCTATCCCCGGGCGCATCATTCCAAAAGACGTTGAAAAGGTTGAACTTGTTGTCACCCTGCCTGGCGCTCGACATTAAATGGCTAAAACAAAGACTGGTCGGCTCTGCGTGAGGATACTGTGTCTGAGTGGGGTATTCATGTTCAACTGCTTCATGCACGTCGCTATATCAGAGCATAATCTTGAACGCGACGTTAAACCCCACTCCACCCCACCACATCTCCTTTGTGCCAATAAAGCCTCCAGCTTTTTTAGTTTTGACGAGGAGTGACTTTAGGTACACTCAATCAATCAGTTCCAACGGATATACTAGCTTATGTAATGAACCACAACAGCATATAGTCTCTGCTTCTGCTTCATGTATGATGTTCTCGTATCAATACTTGGGTTGTACAATAGACATTATTGGTTGTTTGTGGATAACAGCTTCTAATTGTAAGGCTAAACATGCATGTAAATTTCGGGTAAGAACATCAAATCCCCGGAATCACAATGCCAGTCCTAAGAGTCACAAGATGAAGGGGTTCGGTGACGAGGCTGTGTGTCATCGTACTCCCTGGAGTAGACAGTAGCGCCCTTTACAGTAACTTTGGTGTGGTCCCAGCGCGATTACTTACAAACATCTGTGTAATTGCTGAAACATTGCTGACTGCGGCCTAAACAATATTCACTCAGGTTAAGGCGTTGTTGTAACTGGATTAAGGATCTGTAAGTATCAAGAAAGTAGAATAAAAAATCTCAATTAAGCGAGGTTTTTTTTCATTGCCGTCTGAAAACTTTGTTTGTTTGTTTGTTCGTTGTTAAACGCCGCACTCAGCAATATTCCAGATATATGACGGCGGTCTGTAAATAATCAAGTCTAGACCAGACAATCCAGTGATTGACATCATGATCATCGATCCACGCAATTGGGACACGATGACATGCATCAATAAAGTCAGCAAGCCTGACCACCCGATCCCGTTAGTCGCCTCATACGACAAGCATAGTCGCCTTTTACGGCAAGCATGGGTTGCTGGAGACCTATTCTACCCCGGATCTTTACGGGAAAACGTTAGCAATAAATTATATCACAAATTGTTTTCATGCCTGTCCCGACTCTCCATGACCCATAAGACGTGCACATAGAAAATGAGGTTTCTTTCCATTCCTAATATGTTTTCACAAGAGAAAAAAAAATACATAGTTTTTTGTGCGTTTTTTCCACCACCAACTGCAGATTTTGAGAAATAAAATCTGTGAACTAACTAATTAAAAGAGACCTAATCAACAAAACCTAATGGTCTATGGACATACTCACTCCTACAAAACAGTAATAACATTTGCGTTATGTAATATGCAATGGTGTAACACTGAAGGTCTAAGTTCTACGTATCTTTCGCTACTTTTGTCTTGAACCAACAATGGAATCTGATCTTCAAAACGGGATAGAGACCTATGGCATTTAAAAATTCTCAAACATAAAACAACTCCATGAGGATTGAGGTACTATAAATAATCCAGAGTTCTTAAGAAACACGAATAATAGGAATGTGTTGAATGAATTGTTGTTAATTATTCAAATCCACACACGTGCGTTTGTTTACAGTGAGTTAACGTATCAGTTAACAATTGTCATCCAATTGCACGTGCCCACTGAGTATTTTTATGACGATCTATTTGGCTTTCCCCACTTTATTCATTTTAATATCAGTTTTGATATGCACTAAGAGGTGAATTCTATTTTGAAGCAATCGAAATAGACACAAGTTTCAAAACAACAAAAGGTATTCATATAGTTTTTACTTCAGGTATTTTATCGAAAACAATAAATTGTCCCTAAAAAATCTTTAAAAAATAATTATACTACAGACCTTTCAAAAAAGAAATTGTTTGCCACAAAAATTACGTTGCTGCAAATCAGGCTCACAGTTTTATACCTAAAAAAACATCTGGTTTTGCACCTGAAGCTGAAGAATATTTAATTTCGATACCAAATCCCAGGTCCCTACAACAATATCAAATGGTCCGTCGGTTTGAAAGAGTAGCATTAAAGCTCACGGTTTGCTGACAGACAATTCTTGCTTTTCTGGTGATGGAAATCCTTTATGGAGAACACAATCTTCCCGAGGCAAGCGAGTTGACTGACTTTTCAAATCTGCACGACGGTGTCGATTTCGTTACACGATTTTGATTGGACTTTACATAGACTCGTTATTCCAGCCCATAACTCCACAATTCCAGCCTAGTTCGGCAAGTGTGGAAACTGGACTTCTAGAGTCAGTTAACTCTCCTGCCTCGGGAAGATGCTTAACCGGTAAATACAGGTCAGTTCCGTGGCTCGTATATCTCAAATGACTCCCTGTTAAAGATGGTTTACAGTGCGAACAGAATACAAAAAAAGCATTGCATGTTCAATTTCTCTTATTTAATAGCAACAAAAAGGCAGACTGTACATTTTTATTACATAAATAATACTTTCACCACAAGAGAAGTTCAACTACCTAACTACATAACTACTCATTATTTGGTAAGGACTTCAAGGGTTGGTTTTCGTCACATATGAAATATTATGCAAAGAATGAAATGAAGGCAGATATGGTAACAAATCTGTCGTTTACAACAGTACATGGACGTAATGCTGTACCAGAAAATAACATGCGAATACTGGTTACTTCATAACAAGAGCAATACAAACTCAACCAGTGGAGAAAAAACGATTTTGGTGACCCACGCTTGATGTATCACGTGGTCTCTTGGAGGTCACGGTTGAGTGGATATTCTCCCCGAAAACGGGTTTGAATAACTGGTGAGTTTGCCTGCCGAGCAAATTTCAGGGTCCCTGTTCACAAAGTAATCGTAGCGTTACGACCACCGTAGCTCAGACTGTTCAACAAAGATTTACGACAGTCGGAGGCCTAAGGTCGCTTCGTGATCGGAACCTAGTCTCTTGAAGAAAGTGACGGCGAAACTACGACATATTACAATGATTTCGTTTACGTCTATTCTAATGTGTGTAATTAAAGTTATGTTACAAAGACAGAATTACTTGATTTTCTTTGTAACAACAATATTAAATGCCAAAAATATATTGTTCTTAAATTGTTAAATTCCCTTCTGAATTTGAAAGCTTTGTTCCGTCATTTATGTGCGTGAGTATATCAAAATGAACGCTGCTGGATCTTGATGAGAGACTTCCGGTAAATCCCGGAGTGATCGGAAGAACGACGACAGATTTGAAACCGGAGCTAAGTAATACATTTAGTCTTCTCGAACACCTAGTGTCATCACTGAATTTTAGTGATCCATTCATATAATCTTCACCGCTATCTTGCCTTACGCACAATGGAATCAGTTTCGGCGGATGATCGAGACTGGCGTCGGCGTGTCACTGGTTATTCTCTGGCGTTCACGTTGTATATTTACATTTCACGCAATCGCACATGAAAATGACTCACGTGATTTGGCCAAATATAGTTGTATTGGAAGTTCATGCATTTTTATAGGAGCCTTTTATCAGAATGTAATAGTTATCTCAAAGAATTGTCGAAAACCATTTCAGTAAAAAGACTCCATTAAGTCGATACACTACAATTGCATATTTTAGAATGATGTAATTTGATGGTCCCCGTACAAGCAGTAGCTGCTTAGTATCGACACTCAATCTATTTTTATAGTCCCAAGGACTTCGATGTACATGATTATGCTGTATATACATTATGACAAAGCTGATAATCTGATTGCAGCAATCAAATTAACTCAAACGTTGTGGAACGCCCTTAATATTTATCACGTTGACAGTTACACATTTGAACGACTTGTAGAAGTTTAGAGCTGACGTTACAAAAACAAGTCACTTAAGCCTCAGTCACACAGACAATGCGACCGCGATGCAACCTCCTGGCGACCAAAATATTTGACAATCGCAATGAGGTTTCAGGGGTCTCTGAAAGGTTTCACTGAGGTCGATACAAGGTTTCAGAGCGGTCGCAAAACTCATTGGGTCGCAACCAGTCTTTTGAACATGCACAAAAGAATGGCTGCGGCCGATTTGGTCGCTCGGAGGTTTCATCGGTCTCCTGGAGGTCCCCAAGTGGTGTCATTTTAATAAAAGATTGGTTTCCACTGTGCGGCGATCGGTTTCGTCTACACAAGGGTGTTGATTCTTTGCAACCTAGTGGCGACCTCCCGGTGACTGATCAATGATGAGGAAGGTGATCGACCGGTGCGTCATCGGTGACAAAATGCAAAGAAATGTATTGATTCAGAAAAGCACCCTTTTTATATGCATTATGTTTAGATCGGTGATCGATGGACAACTAGTCACCGACCAGTCCCCGTCCAGTTACAACAAGTCACCGAAGATTCGCTTACTAGTCACCGATCGGTCTCAACCAGTTGCAAACATTTCGCCGTGTCTGCGGTGAACAGTTGCCGATCAATCACTGACAAGTTGCAAAACCTATCGCTGATTGATCGGCGATCATACCCTAATTTCAAATATGGGCAGAAGTAGTTGCACCGGTCTCAGCGATCGCCAGTCGGTCGCAAAGGAAACCAGTCGCTAACAGGTTGCCTCGCGGTCACATTGTCTGTGTGACTGCAGCTTTAGCAAACACGAAGTGGCCCAGTATACACATTTGTCTGTAGTCTCTACAGTAGCAGTGTTGTTTCTGTACTCGTTTTACAGAGGAACACATGGTCCTCGATATACTGAGCGACGTCGGGACGAGCGACGAGCGGTTCGTCGACAACCTACTATTTCCTATTATGAACAATGTAACCTATCTGAGATACCATGCCAGGAAAATGGTAAGTTTGATGGAAAAGTTAATAAAGTTCTGACGTACTTGCATTTAGGATTTTTACCAGACTCGGGATAATGTTTACTGGACGCAATCGTCTTGGTCACATCTCTACATGTTTATCAGGAATAAACATGCTTTATTTGAATGAGCTTACGAATTCTCGACGTCTGATTTGGTATTTACAATCAAGCAAACTGTTCAGAAGTCATCCTGGTCTTGGCACAATAAAGGTAGCCATCAAGCGCTCTTTCCAAGTGCGGCTCATTCTAAAACGAGGCTTTTATAATCGTGCCTTTTTAGCACTACTGGATGTCTGTACACATGTCTTAACTGTCTTGTGCAGATAGGGAACTTCACTGTGACGTGTTTAAGTCACGTGATACTTTAGGTCTTCCAGCCTTTGGGTATCGGTTGATGGTGTATGCCGCACACGTTGTTCTACTGCCATGTCAACGTATCACACACTTTCACAAAGTCAGCCCAAAAACCGAATGTCTTCCTTTGATATATAAACAAAGCTACATGTATTTCACAACCTTCGCCTTTCTTCGCTAACTCTGTCACCAATATGCCCCATTCAGGCACAAAGAAACTTCTCCTCTCCACGACCCTCTTCACATCTCTTGACGTTATCTTTTCTGTACTTTTGCTTTTACTTCTTCTGTCATGACATTTTCATCTGCTTCCCCCGTGAGTCCTTTGTTTGGCCCTCGTGGGTCTATTATATCGATTTCTTCCTCTACTTTGTCTGTCTGTGGATTTCTTTCGGTCCCAACAACGGTTGCTAGCTCAGTATATACATCTCCAGTCTTCTCTCTTTCCTCTTGTTCCATCCCATCTCTTCCTTCTCCTTCCTTCATCACGTCTTGTTCGCCTCCTGTGTCTTCCTCTAAATCAGCTGACTCTGCACTATCACTCATCTTTTTCTGTTGGACTGTAGCCTTTCTCTCATATTCTCCCCTGATATTACCTTCATTCCTTGCATCAAATTCTTCCCCCACCGTAGTGGGCTCCTTCCCTGTGCCCTCATCTTCCCCTTTCTCCACCAGCTCTAGGTCCTTCTTCCCTCCTTCGTCTGTTTCCATCACGCTTTTATCTTCTGTTATGTGGACCTCTTCCTCTGTCTTCACATCTTCCCCATCACCAGTATCCACTTTCTCCACCTCCTCTTCATCTCCACTCCGACCTTCACCATCGCGTTCTTCTTCAAATAATGTTTTTGCTTCTGGCATTCGTTTCTCTGTCTTCACTTCATCCAAAGCATCATCTGCCCATGCCTCCCGATCTGGATCCTTTCTCTCACCCTCACACTGTCTTTCGATCACATTGTCTTCTGGTACCAACATGACGTCTTCTCCATTCTTCACTTCCTTTCCTGCATCGTTCAATTTCTTCATATCTTCACCTGCATCTTCAACACCAACATCTTCCTCATCCATATCAATCTGTTCACTCTTCACTTTCTCCGGATCTTTCTTTGTATGGTCCCCATCTCTTTCTCCCCCTGCCAATGTTTCAACATCTACAACACTGGTTCCCTCCACAAACGGTACCTCTTTATCTCTCTTCACTTCCTTTCCTGCATCATTACCTTCCTTCTCCACTCGCTCCCTAGCCTTCACCCCTCCTTTGCAATCTCTCTCGGTGCCTTCTGGAGATGTTACCTCTTCCTCTGTCTTAACGTCCTTCCCTGTATCATTACTTTCCTTCTCCACCGTCTCCATAACCGTCCTCCCTCCTTCGGCATCTCTTTCCATGCCTTCTGGAACCGATATTGCCTCTCTCAAAACTTCTTTTTCTGTCCCCACCATCTCCGATTTTTCCATTTCGTCGCGCTCCATTCCCCCAAATGTTTCTTCATCTGGTACTTGTGTGACCTCTTCCTCTTGATTCACTCTCTCACCTACACCCTCCTGTTGATCCAGTGTTTCCCTTCCACCTTCCCCAACTCTGTCAACAACATCTTCCAGTGTATCAGTTTCTGGAACCACCTTGTTGTCTTCTTCAATCGTAGCTACCTCTCCTGCAGTCTTCCCTGCTACTTCCAGTTGTTCCTCTGTGTTCATGGCCCTTTCATTGGTGCTGTTTAACGCATCTACGTTATCATCCTCTGCAACATCACTTTTGACCAATGTAACCTCTTCTCCAATGCAACCATTCTCCAATCTCTCCACTTCTTCGTTCTCAGTACTCTCACCCTCCTCCTCATTCTTCTCTTTAGTCGATGATTCATCTTCTGCTAATGACGTGACCTCTTCCTCCTTTTTTAGTTCTTCTCCAATCCTCTTCTGGAGTTTCTGTTGTTCCGCCACGTTTCCCTCGGCCACCTCTGTACTGTCAAGCCCAACTACACCTTCTTCCTCTGTTCCATCATCTTCTCCTTCTAATGGGACAGACCCATTATTTCCTTCCTCTCCCACACTGTTTCTTGCTCTGTGATACTGTTCCATCACGTTCCTGTCACCAGCCAATGTGGTATCAGCATCTTCGTTGTCTCTCAACTCACTTCCTCCCACTGTGAACTCTTCCTTCTCACTGTCCCAATTCTCCCTCACATCCTGTTCTTTATGTGGTTTGCTTTCATCTTCTTCAACATCCGCATCACTTCTTCGTATTTCCACATTTGCTTCTTCTTTTTCTGTCATAACATCTTGCTGGATTTCCCCATTTTCTCCGACCACTGCAGCTTCTTTCCCAGTTCTGCCTTTTTCCTCCACAAGAATCTTCCTATCAAGATGTGCCCCATCACCCTCTATCGTGCCCTGAAGCCTCACATCTTCAACATCCAATTCCGTCTGTCCCTTCTGCCCCTTCTCCATCTCCATAAGTCTGTCCCTCACAGCAGTCAAAGTGTAGCCCAGTACGTTCTCCCCTCTCCAGTTATTTGTGTCCCATGCTTTGGATTTCCTCTTTGCAAATCCGAGACCATACCCAGTACTCCAGTAGTCGTCATCATACTTACACTCAGCTAACAGTTTTGGGTATGTGGCGAACAGTTGCCCCCTTAGCTCGGAATTCTGAGTGAACTGGGGAAACAACAAGAAAATCGTGAGCGATATACTGTAGAATATTGAAAAGAATACTTGAAGATAAACAGTAAATGAAACAATAATTCTGTTTCATTTGAGATCGTTTCATTTTCAAAATAGACTGTAAGTCGTTAGCTCAAATAGAAAGAGAACCAGTTCGTCATTTCTGTTAGGTTGATATTATGGTTAGAATGCCCTTGAAAAGGTTGTAGAATCCCAATACCATCATGGTACAATATGGTTCTCTCACCTTGGCCGTGATGCCGCGTTCAACAACTTGTACGCATTTCTGTTCCCATACATTCCACTGGAAGTTCTGGATGTCATATGTATAGCGGTCCTGTTCACTGGGGTCACTGGTTGACATGATTTTCTCCTGACATTCCTGGTCTTCAAATATCACTGAAAATACAGGCACATAACATGATAACCACAGCTTCTTTAAAATCTGTTTCTTTAAATTCTGTCCAAATTTGGCAATGCTACGGAAACGCCGGTCAATTGTGTCACAATGGCAAAAAAACTCTCAACATAACTCCATGATTCTAGCTGTTCTATCTGAGAAAGATATATGCACATTCGATGTCACTTCCAGTTTGCTTAAACGCAGTAGGGCTTCAAATCAGAAAGTTAGAGCACATCTTTATATCAAGATAGAGGACTAAAATTCATATTGAATGCAATAATAGTTAGAGCACTTCAGTCTGATAAGATCAATTTGGATATTTGAAAGAATCTACAATTGCACGCATCACTCATCAAAATGATCCAGTGCTGATAATGATCATACAATACACCAGGTAGTCTAACATCACAAAAGCTAAACTGACCCCTTTCCCGTTTTAAATACATTGACACTTGTCTTGAAAATATACTTTCATACAATTCTATCACATTATACAGTGCAACGAAGATCTGATGCATCGCTATTACATCTCTACAGCCCTGGATAACATCCAACTACTCACCAGCCATCTGGTACAGTGTGAAGTGTTCAGCACTGGTGAAGGTTTGACCATCGATCGTGAAACTGGCAGGATAATGTTGGCTGAATGGAGATTTGATGCCCCCGAAAAATTCAAAATTGTCTTTCCCAGACACATGTCTGTAAGATTCACATCTGGATTGGGAAGACATGCTATCTTCCACATCCATATCAATCTGTTCACTCTTCACTTTCTCCGGATCTTTCTTTGTATCGTCCCCATCTCTTTCTCCCCCTGCCAATGTTTCAACATCTACAACACTGGTTCCCTCCACAAACGGTACCTCTTTATCTCTCTTCACTTCCTTTCCTGCATCATTACCTTCCTTCTCCACTCGCTCCCTAGCCTTCACCCCTCCTTTGCAATCTCTCTCGGTGCCTTCTGGAGATGTTACCTCTTCCTCTGTCTTAACGTCCTTCCCTGTATCATTACTTTCCTTCTCCACCCTCTCCATAACCGTCCTCCCTCCTTCGGCATCTCTTTCCATGCCTTCTGGAACCGATATTGCCTCTCTCAAAACTTCTTTTTCTGTCCCCAGCATCTCCGATTTTTCCATTTCATCGCGCTCCATTCCCCCAAATGTTTCTTCATCTGGTACTTGTGTGACCTCTTCCTCTTGATTCACTCTCTCACCTACACCCGCCTGTTGATCCAGTGTTTCCCTTCCACCTTCCCCAACTCTGTCAACAACATCTTCCAGTGTATCAGTTTCTGGAACCACCTTGTTGTCTTCTTCAATCGTAGCTACCTCTCCTGCAGTCTTCCCTGCTACTTCCAGTTGTTCCTCTGTGTTCATGGCCCTTTCATTGGTGCTGTTTAACGCATCTACGTTATCATCCTCTGCTACATCACTTTTGACCAATGTAACCTCTTCTCCAATGCAACCATTCTCCAATCTCTCCGCTTCTTCGTTCTCAGTACTCTCACCCTCCTCCTCATTCTTCTCTTTAGTCGATGATTCATCTTCTGCTAATGACGTGACCTCTTCCTCCTTTTTTAGTTCTTCTCCAATCCTCTTCTGGAGTTTCTGTTGTTCCGCCACGTTTCCCTCGGCCACCTCTGTACTGTCAAGCCCAACTACACCTTCTTCCTCTGTTCCATCATCTTCTCCTTCTAATGGGACAGACCCATTATTTCCTTCCTCTCCCACACTGTTTCTTGCTCTGTGATACTGTTCCATCACGTTCCTGTCACCAGCCAATGTGGTATCAGCATCTTCGTTGTCTCTCAACTCACTTCCTCCCACTGTGAACTCTTCCTTCTCACTGTCCCAATTCTCCCTCACATCCTGTTCTTTATGTGGTTTGCTTTCATCTTCTTCAACATCCGCATCACTTCTTCGTATTTCCACATTTGCTTCTTCTTTTTCTGTCATAACATCTTGCTGTATTTCCCCATTTTCTCCGACCACTGCAGCTTCTTTCCCAGTTCTGCCTTTTTCCTCCACAAGAATCTTCCTATCAAGATGTGCCCCATCACCCTCTATCGTGCCCTGAAGCCTCACATCTTCAACATCCAATTCCGTCTGTCCCTTCTGCCCCTTCTCCATCTCCATAAGTCTGTCCCTCACAGCAGTCAAAGTGTAGCCCAGTACGTTCTCCCCTCTCCAGTTATTTGTGTCCCATGCTTTGGATTTCCTCTTTGCAAATCCGAGACCATACCCAGTACTCCAGTAGTCGTCATCATACTTACACTCAGCTAACAGTTTTGGGTATGTGGCGAACAGTTGCCCCCTTAGCTCGGAATTCTGAGTGAACTGGGGAAACAACAAGAAAACCGTGAGCCATATACTGTAGAATATTGAAAAGAATACTTGAAGATATACAGTAAATGAAACAAAAAATCTGTTTCATTTGAGATCGTTTCATTTTCAAAATAGACTGTAAGTCGTTAGCTCAAATAGAAAGAGAACCAGTTCGTCATTTCTGTTAGGTTGATATTATGGTTAGAATGCCCTTGAAAAGGTTGTAGAATCCCAATACCATCATGGTACAATATGGTTCTCTCACCTTGGCCGTGATGCCGCGTTCAACAACTTGTACGCATTTCTGTTCCCATACATTCCACTGGAAGTTCTGGATGTCATATGTATAGCGGTCCTGTTCACTGGGGTCACTGGTTGACATGATTTTCTCCTGACATTCCTGGTCTTCAAATATCACTGAAAATACAGGCACATAACATGATAACCACGGCTTCTTTAAAATCTGTTTCTTTAAATTCTGTCCAAATTTGGCAATGCTACGGAAACGCCGGTCAATTGTGTCACAACGGCAAAAAAACTCTCAACATAACTCCATGATTCTAGCTGTTCTATCTGAGAAAGATATATGCGCATTCGATGTCACTTCCAGTTTGCTAAAACGCAGTAGGGCTTCAAATCAGAAAGTTAGAGCACATCTTTATATCAAGATAGAGGACTAAAATTCATATTGAATGCAATAATAGTTAGAGCACTTCAGTCTGATAAGATCAATTTGGATATTTGAAAGAATCTACAATTGCACGCATCACTCATCAAAATGATCCAGTGCTGATAATGATCATACAATACACCAGGTAGTCTAACATCACAAAAGCTAAACTGACCCCTTTCCCGTTTTAAATACATTGACACTTGTCTTGAAAATATACTTTCATACAATTCTATCACATTATACAGTGCAACGAAGATCTGATGCATCGCTATTACATCTCTACAGCCCTGGATAACATCCAACTACTCACCAGCCATCTGGTACAGTGTGAAGTGTTCAGCACTGGTGAAGGTTTGACCATCGATCGTGAAACTGGCAGGATAATGTTGGCTGAATGGAGATTTGATGCCCCCGAAAAATTCAAAATTGTCTTTCCCAGACACATGTCTGTAAGATTCACATCTGGATTGGGAAGACATGCTATCTTCCACATCCATATCAATCTGTTCACTCTTCACTTTCTCCGGATCTTTCTTTGTATCGTCCCCATCTCTTTCTCCCCCTGCCAATGTTTTAACATCTACAACACTGGTTCCCTCCACAAACGGTACCTCTTTATCTCTCTTCACTTCCTTTCCTGCATCATTACCTTCCTTCTCCACTCGCTCCCTAGCCTTCACCCCTCCTTTGCAATCTCTCTCGGTGCCTTCTGGAGATGTTACCTCTTCCTCTGTCTTAACGTCCTTCCCTGTATCATTACTTTCCTTCTCCACCCTCTCCATAACCGTCCTCCCTCCTTCGGCATCTCTTTCCATGCCTTCTGGAACCGATATTGCCTCTCTCAAAACTTCTTTTTCTGTCCCCACCATCTCCGATTTTTCCATTTCGTCGCGCTCCATTCCCCCAAATGTTTCTTCATCTGGTACATGTGTGACCTCTTCCTCTTGATTCACTCTTTCACCTACACCCTCCTGTTGATCCAGTGTTTCCCTTCCACCTTCCCCAACTCTGTCAACAACATCTTCCAGTGTATCAGTTTCTGGAACCACCTTGTTGTCTTCTTCAATCGTAGCTACCTCTCCTGCAGTCTTCCCTGCTACTTCCAGTTGTTCCTCTGTGTTCATGGCCCTTTCATTGGTGCTGTTTAACGCATCTACGTTATCATCCTCTGCAACATCACTTTTGACCAATGTAACCTCTTCTCCAATGCAACCATTCTCCAATCTCTCCGCTTCTTCGTTCTCAGTACTCTCACCCTCCTCCTCATTCTTCTCTTTAGTCGATGATTCATCTTCTGCTAATGACGTGACCTCTTCCTCCTTTTTTAGTTCTTCTCCAATCCTCTTCTGGAGTTTCTGTTGTTCCGCCACGTTTCCCTCGGCCACCTCTGTACTGTCAAGCCCAACTACACCTTCTTCCTCTGTTCCATCATCTTCTCCTTCTAATGGGACAGACCCATTATTTCCTTCCTCTCCCACACTGTTTCTTGCTCTGTGATACTGTTCCATCACGTTCCTGTCACCAGCCAATGTGGTATCAGCATCTTCGTTGTCTCTCAACTCACTTCCTCCCACTGTGAACTCTTCCTTCTCACTGTCCCAATTCTCCCTCACATCCTGTTCTTTATGTGGTTTGCTTTCATCTTCTTCAACATCCGCATCACTTCTTCGTATTTCCACATTTGCTTCTTCTTTTTCTGTCATAACATCTTGCTGTATTTCCCCATTTTCTCCGACCACTGCAGCTTCTTTCCCAGTTCTGCCTTTTTCCTCCACAAGAATCTTCCTATCAAGATGTGCCCCATCACCCTCTATCGTGCCCTGAAGCCTCACATCTTCAACATCCAATTCCGTCTGTCCCTTCTGCCCCTTCTCCATCTCCATAAGTCTGTCCCTCACAGCAGTCAAAGTGTAGCCCAGTACGTTCTCCCCTCTCCAGTTATTTGTGTCCCATGCTTTGGATTTCCTCTTTGCAAATCCGAGACCATACCCAGTACTCCAGTAGTCGTCATCATACTTACACTCAGCTAACAGTTTTGGGTATGTGGCGAACAGTTGCCCCCTTAGCTCGGAATTCTGAGTGAACTGGGGAAACAACAAGAAAATCGTGAGCCATATACTGTAGAATATTGAAAAGAATACTTGAAGATAAACAGTAAATGAAACAATAAATCTGTTTCATTTGAGATCGTTTCATTTTCAAAATAGACTGTAAGTCGTTAGCTCAAATAGAAAGAGAACCAGTTCGTCATTTCTGTTAGGTTGATATTATGGTTAGAATGCCCTTGAAAAGGTTGTAGAATCCCAATACCATCATGGTACAATATGGTTCTCTCACCTTGGCCGTGATGCCGCGTTCAACAACTTGTACGCATTTCTGTTCCCATACATTCCACTGGAAGTTCTGGATGTCATATGTATAGCGGTCCTGTTCACTGGGGTCACTGGTTGACATGATTTTCTCCTGACATTCCTGGTCTTCAAATATCACTGAAAATACAGGCACATAACATGATAACCACAGCTTCTTTAAAATCTGTTTCTTTAAATTCTGTCCAAATTTGGCAATGCTACGGAAACGCCGGTCAATTGTGTCACAATGGCAAAAAAACTCTCAACATAACTCCATGATTCTAGCTGTTCTATCTGAGAAAGATATATGCACATTCGATGTCACTTCCAGTTTGCTTAAACGCAGTAGGGCTTCAAATCAGAAAGTTAGAGCACATCTTTATATCAAGATAGAGGACTAAAATTCATATTGAATGCAATAATAGTTAGAGCACTTCAGTCTGATAAGATCAATTTGGATATTTGAAAGAATCTACAATTGCACGCATCACTCATCAAAATGATCCAGTGCTGATAATGATCATACAATACACCAGGTAGTCTAACATCACAAAAGCTAAACTGACCCCTTTCCCGTTTTAAATACATTGACACTTGTCTTGAAAATATACTTTCATACAATTCTATCACATTATACAGTGCAACGAAGATCTGATGCATCGCTATTACATCTCTACAGCCCTGGATAACATCCAACTACTCACCAGCCATCTGGTACAGTGTGAAGTGTTCAGCACTGGTGAAGGTTTGACCATCGATCGTGAAACTGGCAGGATAATGTTGGCTGAATGGAGATTTGATGCCCCCGAAAAATTCAAAATTGTCTTTCCCAGACACATGTCTGTAAGATTCACATCTGGATTGGGAAGACATGCTATCTTCCACATCCATATCAATCTGTTCACTCTTCACTTTCTCCGGATCTTTCTTTGTATCGTCCCCATCTCTTTCTCCCCCTGCCAATGTTTCAACATCTACAACACTGGTTCCCTCCACAAACGGTACCTCTTTATCTCTCTTCACTTCCTTTCCTGCATCATTACCTTCCTTCTCCACTCGCTCCCTAGCCTTCACCCCTCCTTTGCAATCTCTCTCGGTGCCTTCTGGAGATGTTACCTCTTCCTCTGTCTTAACGTCCTTCCCTGTATCATTACTTTCCTTCTCCACCCTCTCCATAACCGTCCTCCCTCCTTCGGCATCTCTTTCCATGCCTTCTGGAACCGATATTGCCTCTCTCAAAACTTCTTTTTCTGTCCCCACCATCTCCGATTTTTCCATTTCGTCGCGCTCCATTCCCCCAAATGTTTCTTCATCTGGTACTTGTGTGACCTCTTCCTCTTGATTCACTCTCTCACCTACACCCTCCTGTTGATCCAGTGTTTCCCTTCCACCTTCCCCAACTCTGTCAACAACATCTTCCAGTGTATCAGTTTCTGGAACCACCTTGTTGTCTTCTTCAATCGTAGCTACCTCTCCTGCAGTCTTCCCTGCTACTTCCAGTTGTTCCTCTGTGTTCATGGCCCTTTCATTGGTGCTGTTTAACGCATCTACGTTATCATCCTCTGCAACATCACTTTTGACCAATGTAACCTCTTCTCCAATGCAACCATTCTCCAATCTCTCCGCTTCTTCGTTCTCAGTACTCTCACCCTCCTCCTCATTCTTCTCTTTAGTCGATGATTCATCTTCTGCTAATGACGTGACCTCTTCCTCCTTTTTTAGTTCTTCTCCAATCCTCTTCTGGAGTTTCTGTTGTTCCGCCACGTTTCCCTCGGCCACCTCTGTACTGTCAAGCCCAACTACACCTTCTTCCTCTGTTCCATCATCTTCTCCTTCTAAAGGGACAGACCCATTATTTCCTTCCTCTCCCACACTGTTTCTTGCTCTGTGATACTGTTCCATCACGTTCCTGTCACCAGCCAATGTGGTATCAGCATCTTCGTTGTCTCTCAACTCACTTCCTCCCACTGTGAACTCTTCCTTCTCACTGTCCCAATTCTCCCTCACATCCTGTTCTTTATGTGGTTTGCTTTCATCTTCTTCAACATCCGCATCACTTCTTCGTATTTCCACATTTGCTTCTTCTTTTTCTGTCATAACATCTTGCTGTATTTCCCCATTTTCTCCGACCACTGCAGCTTCTTTCCCAGTTCTGCCTTTTTCCTCCACAAGAATCTTCCTATCAAGATGTGCCCCATCACCCTCTATCGTGCCCTGAAGCCTCACATCTTCAACATCCAATTCCGTCTGTCCCTTCTGCCCCTTCTCCATCTCCATAAGTCTGTCCCTCACAGCAGTCAAAGTGTAGCCCAGTACGTTCTCCCCTCTCCAGTTATTTGTGTCCCATGCTTTGGATTTCCTCTTTGCAAATCCGAGACCATACCCAGTACTCCAGTAGTCGTCATCATACTTACACTCAGCTAACAGTTTTGGGTATGTGGCGAACAGTTGCCCCCTTAGCTCGGAATTCTGAGTGAACTGGGGAAACAACAAGAAAATCGTGAGCCATATACTGTAGAATATTGAAAAGAATACTTGAAGATAAACAGTAAATGAAACAATAAATCTGTTTCATTTGAGATCGTTTCATTTTCAAAATAGACTGTAAGTCGTTAGCTCAAATAGAAAGAGAACCAGTTCGTCATTTCTGTTAGGTTGATATTATGGTTAGAATGCCCTTGAAAAGGTTGTAGAATCCCAATACCATCATGGTACAATATGGTATTCTCACCTTGGCCGTGATGCCGCGTTCAACAACTTGTACGCATTTCTGTTCCCATACATTCCACTGGAAGTTCTGGATGTCATATGTATAGCGGTCCTGTTCACTGGGGTCACTGGTTGACATGATTTTCTCCTGACATTCCTGGTCTTCAAATATCACTGAAAATACAGGCACATAACATGATAACCACAGCTTCTTTAAAATCTGTTTCTTTAAATTCTGTCCAAATTTGGCAATGCTACGGAAACGCCGGTCAATTGTGTCACAATGGCAAAAAAACTCTCAACATAACTCCATGATTCTAGCTGTTCTATCTGAGAAAGATATATGCACATTCGATGTCACTTCCAGTTTGCTTAAACGCAGTAGGGCTTCAAATCAGAAAGTTAGAGCACATCTTTATATCAAGATAGAGGACTAAAATTCATATTGAATGCAATAATAGTTAGAGCACTTCAGTCTGATAAGATCAATTTGGATATTTGAAAGAATCTACAATTGCACGCATCACTCATCAAAATGATCCAGTGCTGATAATGATCATACAATACACCAGGTAGTCTAACATCACAAAAGCTAAACTGACCCCTTTCCCGTTTTAAATACATTGACACTTGTCTTGAAAATATACTTTCATACAATTCTATCACATTATACAGTGCAACGAAGATCTGATGCATCGCTATTACATCTCTACAGCCCTGGATAACATCCAACTACTCACCAGCCATCTGGTACAGTGTGAAGTGTTCAGCACTGGTGAAGGTTTGACCATCGATCGTGAAACTGGCAGGATAATGTTGGCTGAATGGAGATTTGATGCCCCCGAAAAATTCAAAATTGTCTTTCCCAGACACATGTCTGTAAGATTCACATCTGGATTGGGAAGACATGCTATCTTCCACATCCATATCAATCTGTTCACTCTTCACTTTCTCCGGATCTTTCTTTGTATCGTCCCCATCTCTTTCTCCCCCTGCCAATGTTTCAACATCTACAACACTGGTTCCCTCCACAAACGGTACCTCTTTATCTCTCTTCACTTCCTTTCCTGCATCATTACCTTCCTTCTCCACTCGCTCCCTAGCCTTCACCCCTCCTTTGCAATCTCTCTCGGTGCCTTCTGGAGATGTTACCTCTTCCTCTGTCTTAACGTCCTTCCCTGTATCATTACTTTCCTTCTCCACCCTCTCCATAACCGTCCTCCCTCCTTCGGCATCTCTTTCCATGCCTTCTGGAACCGATATTGCCTCTCTCAAAACTTCTTTTTCTGTCCCCACCATCTCCGATTTTTCCATTTCGTCGCGCTCCATTCCCCCAAATGTTTCTTCATCTGGTACTTGTGTGACCTCTTCCTCTTGATTCACTCTCTCACCTACACCCTCCTGTTGATCCAGTGTTTCCCTTCCACCTTCCCCAACTCTGTCAACAACATCTTCCAGTGTATCAGTTTCTGGAACCACCTTGTTGTCTTCTTCAATCGTAGCTACCTCTCCTGCAGTCTTCCCTGCTACTTCCAGTTGTTCCTCTGTGTTCATGGCCCTTTCATTGGTGCTGTTTAACGCATCTACGTTATCATCCTCTGCAACATCACTTTTGACCAATGTAACCTCTTCTCCAATGCAACCATTCTCCAATCTCTCCGCTTCTTCGTTCTCAGTACTCTCACCCTCCTCCTCATTCTTCTCTTTAGTCGATGATTCATCTTCTGCTAATGACGTGACCTCTTCCTCCGTTTTTAGTTCTTCTCCAATCCTCTTCTGGAGTTTCTGTTGTTCCGCCACGTTTCCCTCGGCCACCTCTGTACTGTCAAGCCCAACTACACCTTCTTCCTCTGTTCCATCATCTTCTCCTTCTAAAGGGACAGACCCATTATTTCCTTCCTCTCCCACACTGTTTCTTGCTCTGTGATACTGTTCCATCACGTTCCTGTCACCAGCCAATGTGGTATCAGCATCTTCGTTGTCTCTCAACTCACTTCCTCCCACTGTGAACTCTTCCTTCTCACTGTCCCAATTCTCCCTCACATCCTGTTCTTTATGTGGTTTGCTTTCATCTTCTTCAACATCCGCATCACTTCTTCGTATTTCCACATTTGCTTCTTCTTTTTCTGTCATAACATCTTGCTGTATTTCCCCATTTTCTCCGACCACTGCAGCTTCTTTCCCAGTTCTGCCTTTTTCCTCCACAAGAATCTTCCTATCAAGATGTGCCCCATCACCCTCTATCGTGCCCTGAAGCCTCACATCTTCAACATCCAATTCCGTCTGTCCCTTCTGCCCCTTCTCCATCTCCATAAGTCTGTCCCTCACAGCAGTCAAAGTGTAGCCCAGTACGTTCTCCCCTCTCCAGTTATTTGTGTCCCATGCTTTGGATTTCCTCTTTGCAAATCCGAGACCATACCCAGTACTCCAGTAGTCGTCATCATACTTACACTCAGCTAACAGTTTTGGGTATGTGGCGAACAGTTGCCCCCTTAGCTCGGAATTCTGAGTGAACTGGGGAAACAACAAGAAAATCGTGAGCCATATACTGTAGAATATTGAAAAGAATACTTGAAGATAAACAGTAAATGAAACAATAAATCTGTTTCATTTGAGATCGTTTCATTTTCAAAATAGACTGTAAGTCGTTAGCTCAAATAGAAAGAGAACCAGTTCGTCATTTCTGTTAGGTTGATATTATGGTTAGAATGCCCTTGAAAAGGTTGTAGAATCCCAATACCATCATGGTACAATATGGTTCTCTCACCTTGGCCGTGATGCCGCGTTCAACAACTTGTACGCATTTCTGTTCCCATACATTCCACTGGAAGTTCTGGATGTCATATGTATAGCGGTTCTGTTCACTGGGGTCACTGGTTGACATGATTTTCTCCTGACATTCCTGGTCTTCAAATATCACTGAAAATACAGGCACATAACATGATAACCACGGCTACTTTAAAATCTGTTTCTTTAAATTCTGTCCAAATTTGGCGCCGGTCAATTGTGTCACAATGGCAAAAAAACTCTCAACATAACTCCATGATTCTAGCTGTTCTATCTGAGAAAGATATATGCACATTCGATGTCACTTCCAGTTTGCTAAAACGCAGTAGGGCTTCAAATCAGAAAGTTAGAGCACATCTTTATATCAAGATAGAGGACTAAAATTCATATTGAATGCAATAATAGTTAGAGCACTTCAGTCTGATAAGATCAATTTGGATATTTGAAAGAATACAATTGCACGCATCACTCATCAAAATGATCCAGTGCTGATAATGATCATAAAATACACCAGGTAGTCTAACATCACAAAAGCTAAACTGACCCCTTTCCCGTTTTAAATACATTGACACTTGTCTTGAAAATATACTTTCATACAATTCTATCACATTATACAGTGCAACGAAGATCTGATGCATCGCTATTACATCTCTACAGCCCTGGATAACATCCAACTACTCACCGGCCATCTGGTACAGTGTGAAGTGTTCAGCACTGGTGAAGGTTTGACCATCGATCGTGAAACTGGCAGGATAAAGTTGGCTAAATGGAGATTTGATGCCCCCGAAAAATTCAAAATTTTCTTTCCCAGACACATGTTTGTAAGATTCACGTCTGGATTGGGAAGTCATGCCATCTTCCTTCATTAGCATCATGCTACCATCGTGCACCCCGTCACCCTGGCGTTTCGTTTTAGGAATCCTTTCTTCGTGACGTCCTCTGTAAGGATCCGATTCCCATCTTCTCTTTTCCCTCTTCTCCCTCGCCTCCTCTTCCTCCCACCTCTTGTCGTCCTTCCACTTCTCCCATTCCTCCCAGTGTGTGTCCTTTACCTTCATCAGTCTATCTCTCACTCGGGTAATTATATAGCCCAGTTGGTTTTTGCCCCGCCATGTTTCCTTGTCCCAGGCTAAGGGGTCTTTTTGGCCACGCCCTATTCCCCACAAACGGTCGGATGGACTCGCCTCCACCAACAGCTTAGGATGCGTGGCGACCAGGTGTTCCAGCAAATGTGGATTCTGAGAGAACTGAAATGACAAAGAAACTAACATAAAATGGCTATCTAATACATAGTTGAATAGTAAGCGTTTACTTAACATTTGTATTCTACATCAATGTACAGCATGTAATTTGTTCCATGAAACTGAGTCTGTAACACAAAAGTCTGTAAGACTCATATGAATAAAACAGTGGTCAGTGACACCATAATATTATTTCCGGCCATCTGTATTATTATATACACAAATATAGTAAGCGGTCTTTTCCAGGTTTTTCAAGGTGTATATTACTTTAAACGCTCTGGAACACATATGCTTTTGTTGCTTGATAATGAGTGTGAAAGACTTCAGCTGTCACAGATTTGAAAACAACCTTGGTTAGTGACACCATAGTGTTTGTGGAACGTCTTCTTCACTTCTTTAGCCTAACCATTATCACGATGACATCTACGAATGGGTAGTGTATTTAAGTTGGTTGCTTAACGCCGCAATATCCCAGCTACATGACGTCGGGCTGTAACTAATCTAATCACGTCCAGACAATCCCGTGATTCATATTAAAAACAACGATCCACGCAATCGGGATACGGTGACATGCCATCAACTACACGATCCATTTAATGGCCTCTCACAACCACTTCTCGAGAACAGTTCTAACCCGGATTACCTATGGGTTCTCAATTTATTCTTACGATCAGCAACAGGAGTGCTGGGGACACATTGTACAACGGTACACGTGGACCTTTAATGGGTATACAAAATACATCAAATATGTAAGATATATAAACTAGTTTCCAGTCATAATACCGAACAGCCGTGATGCCATTATCTTAACCCTCTTGAATGTTCAGACCGCCCACGGGCGGTGGGGTAGCCTAGTGGTTAAAGCGTTGGCTCGTCACGCCGAAGAACCGGGTTCGATTCCCAACATGGGTACAATATGTGAAGCCCATTTCTGGTGTTCCCCGCCGTAATGTTGATGGAATATCGCTAAAAGCGGCGTAAAACCATACTCACTCACTCACTTAGACCGCCCTGACAAACCAAGGGTCGTAATAGGGCAAATCTGCCGGATCCTGGCAGTGCTTATTATGAGCCACGCGTTCGATGTTAGTTTTATTCCTAAACCAACAAGTTGCGGTACTTTTCGCCTTCAGAGGACCGTTTTATGAACATTAAACAAACCTTAACCTCCGTGGCCCGGTCAACGACCTCTATGAAGTGCTTATTCCATACTTCGAATTTGAATTCTGGGATCTGCCGACCGTATCGCTCCTGTTGCACAGGGTTAGATGTCTCCATGATCTTCCGTTCCATTTCTTTGTTTTCGAATATAACTGCAACCACAATTCAACACTTGTTTGGGGGTGGACAGTGAATACAGGGACTGACACATGTTGAATACAGGGACTGACACATGTTGAATACAGGGACTGACACATGTTGAATACAGGGACTGACACATCCAAAACTAAAATAATAACAAAACTGTAGTCCTCATGTTTTTTCTAAGACAAAATAATTGCTAAATGATTCTTGATTCAAAAACTGTAAATGTAACTTGTGAAATGAAATTGTTTCAGAAGAACATAATATTTCGTATTCACCTGTCTTCTGATACATCACGTACTGTTCAGCACAGTTGAATGTTGTTCCGTCTATGGTGAAGGTGGCTAGGTGATGTTGGCTGAATGGCGATTGGTTGCCGAAAAAAAGGACGAATTTGTCCTGGTTAGGCATTTCTGTGTAGGATGTTTTGGTGTTTCTTAGACCCATGTTTCTTCTTCCATGTTTGTTACAGTTGTTATCTGTTTGCTCTTGTGTCATTTTTCGTTTTGGACGAGACGTTGGATCGGTTTCTTCCCATTGTGGCATCTCTTCGGTCCCATGGTTGTTCCCTATCGTACCCTGCCTCATGCTATCCCGACTCACCTGTCCCTCTGTCCCATGGCTGTTCCCTATCGTACCCTGCCTCATGCTATCTCGGCTCACCTGTCCCTCTACCACGTGGCTGTTCTCTATCCCACCCTGCCTCAAGCTATCCCGACTCAACTGTCCCTCTGTCCTATGGCTGTTCCCTATTGTACCATGCCTCATGCTATCTCGGCTCACCTGTCCCTCTACCACATGGCTGTTCTCTATCCCACCCTGTCTTATGCTATCCCGACTCGTGTGTGCCTTTACAACATGGCTGTTCCCTATTCCATACTGTCTCTTGCTATCCCAGCTCGCTTGTTCCCCGACCCCGAGGCTGTTCCCCCATCCACCCTGTCTCATGCTATCCCGGCTCACCTGTCCCTCTACCACATGGCTGTTCTCTATCCCACCCTGCCTCAAGCTATCCCGACTCAACTGTCCCTCTGTCCTATGGCTGTTCCCTATTGTACCATGCCTCATTCTATCTCGGCTCACCTGTGCCTGTACCACATGGCTGTTCTCTATCCCACCCTGCCTCAAGCTATCCCGACTCAACTGTCCCTCTGTCCTATGGCTGTTCCCTATTGTACCATGCCTCATTCTATCTCGGCTAACCTGTCCCTCTACCACGTGGCTGTTCTCTATCCAACCCTGCCTCAAGCTATCCCGACTCAACTGTCCCTCTGTCCTATGGCTGTTCCCTATTGTACCATGCCTCATGCTATCTCGACTCACCTGTCCCTCTACCACATGGCTGTTCTCTATCCCACCCTGTCTTATGCTATCCCGACTCGTGTGTGCCTTTACAACATGGCTGTTCCCTATTCCATACTGTCTCTTGCTATCCCAGCTCGCTTGTTCCCCGACCCCGAGGCTGTTCCCCCATCCACCCTGTCTCATGCTATCTCGGCTCACCTGTCCCTCTACCCTTTGATCTTGACCATCGCCACCCTCCTCCAGCCTGTTCTCCATCAGTTTGTCCCTGATTTTAGTAAGAGTAAAACCAAGTACGTTATCTCCTTTCCACTCCTTCATGACCCAAGCTTTAGGGTTTTGCTCAGACAGACCAATACTCCAGAACCTGTCTTTAGTAGTGGCATACACCAGTGTTCTTGGGAATGTAGCAAGCAGCTGTTCCTTCAAGTCAGGATTCTGTGTGAACTGACAACAAAGGATGATATGTTACACAGATGTTTTTGTTGCGGACCAAATTCAACACTCATTCACCCAATCTTCATTTGGCCTTCAATTAACCACATGTACACTCATTGGTAAATTCATTCTTAATTATCCAGTGTATCATTATATTATTCTACAATACACTATTCTATCATCATAAATAATAGAATAGAGATGTGATACACAGAATAATCGAGGATGTGGACACTTCAGTTCTCACCTTTTCCTTGAGGGCGAGTTCAGCAACTTTAATCCTTTCCTTGTTCCAAGTGTATGTATCAACGTTGCGGACACTCTTTCCATAGCGTTCTATTTGTTTTAGATCAGTTGATGCCATGATATCAATCGCATGTTGCTTGTCCTTGAATAGGTCTGAAAATGCAGGCACCATTTCAGATTGACAAAATACCTAAGAAGTGATTCAATTTTTTAAATGAATACCAGCACATGTTGATTCACAATCTCATTAAAATAAAATCTCAGCTTGACCTGTTGATCGGAGTAAAAGATGTAATTATTATCAGATTGAACGTTTTCAGAATGCAACATTGGTTACCTGATACCCTGAAACGTCTGATGGCAAATTTGATAACGATAAGTCTGTTGAATTAATGACTGAATGTTACTTTACACCACAGCAAGAATAATTTTATCTTAATCGCATCAGCCTGTTAACAATCGAGCGTGGGCCAAGCAAACGAGTGGTCGAATGTATGAGCACCGATCCACGTTGTTTCGGGACGATAGTCCTTCTTTCTCGGAGGGGGACACCAGATTGGTTGCTACGAGTCAGCCAGGTCACACAGTGTAGCCATTCAA